AAAGAAACAGACTGGCAAATTGGATAAAAAGCCAAAACCCATCTGTGTGCTGTATCCAGGAAACCCATCTCACATGCAAGGATACACAAAGGCTCAAAATAAAGGGATGGAGGAAGATTTACCAAGCAAATGGAGAGCAAAAAAAAAAAAAAAGCAGGAGTTGCAATTCTCGTCTCTGATAAAATAGACTTTAAAGCAACAAAGATCAATAGAGACAAAGAAGGACATTACATAATGGTAAAAGGATCAATACAACAAGAAGAGCTAACGATCCTAAATATATATGGACCCAATACAGGAGCACCCAGATATATAAGGCAAGTTCTTAATGACTTACAAAGAGACATAGACTCCCACACAATAATAGTGGGAGACTGACACTCCACTGTCAATATTAGACAGATCAACTAGACAGAAAATTAACAAGGATATCCAGGACTTGAACTCAGACCTGGAGCAAGCAAACCTGGTAGACATTTACAGAACTCTCCACCCCAAATCCACAGAATATATATTTTTCTCAGCACCACATCACACGTACTTGAAAACTGACCACATAATTGGAAGTAAATCACTGCTCAACAAACGCAAAACAACTGAAATCATAACAAACAGTCTCTCAGACCATAGTGCAATCAAGTTAGAACTCAGAATTCAGAAACTACCTCAGAACTGCACAGCTTCATGGAAACTGAACAACTGGCTCTTGAATGTTGACTGGATAAACAATGAAATGAAGGCAGAAATAAAGAAGTTCTTTGAAACCAACAAGAACGAAGATACAACATACCAGAATATCTGGGACACATTTAAAGCAGTCTCTAGAGGAAAATACATAGCAATAAGTGCCCACATGAGAAGAGTGGAGAGATCCAAATTTGAGAGAGCTAGAGGAGCAAGATCAAAAAACTCAAAACCTAGCAGAAGACAAGAAATAACTAAGATCAGAGAAGAACTGAAGGAGATAGAGGCACAAAAAACCCTTCAAAAAATTAATAAATCCAAGAGCTGTTTTTTTTAAAAGATCAACAAAATAGACCACTAGACTGACTGATAAAAAAGAAAAGAGAGAATAACCAAATAGATGCAATAAAAAATGATGAAGGGGAAATCACCACAGATTCCACAGAAATTCAAACCATCATCAGAGAACATTACAAACAACTCTATGCACATAAACTAGTAAACCTGGAAGAAATGAATAAATTCCTGGACACTTGTGTCCTCCCAAGCCTAAACCAGGAGGAAGCCAAAACTATGAATAGACCAATAACAAGGTCTGAAGCTGAGGCAGCAATTAAGAGCCTACCACACAAAAAAAGCCCAGGTCCACAGGGTTTCACAGCTGAATTCTACCAGTGACACAAAGAGGAACTGTTACCATTCCTTCTGAAACTATTCCAAATAATCCAAAAAGAGGGAATCCTTCCCAAATTATTTTATGAGACCAACATCATCCTGATACCAAAACCCGGCAGAGACTCAACAAGAAAAGAAAACTTCAGGCCAATATCCATGATGAACATAGATGCAAAAATCTTCAATAAAATATTGGCAAGCCGATTGCAACAGGACATCAAAAAGCTTATCCACCATGATCAAGTAGGATTCATCCCGGGGATGCAAGGCTGGTTCAACATACGCAAGTCTATCAATGTAATTCACCACATAAACAGAACCAAAAACAAAAACCACATGATTATCTCAATTGACACAGAGAAGGCCTTTGACAAAATTCAACAGCCCTTTATGCTAAAAACCCTCAATAAACTCGGTATAGATGGAAAATATCTCAAAATAATAAAAGCTATTTATGACAAACCAACAGCCAATATCATACTTAATGGGCAAAAACTGGAAGCATTCCCTTTGAAATCTGGTACTAGACAAGGATGCCCTCTCTCACCACTCCTACTCAATACAGTACTGGAAGTTCTAGCCAGAGCAATCAGGCAAGAAAAAGAAATAAAGGGTATTCAAATAGGAAAGGTGGAAGCCAAATTGTCTCTATTTGCAGACGACATGATAGTATATCTAGAAGACCCCATCATCTCAGCCCAAAAACTCCTGAAACTGATAAGCAACTTCAGCAAAGTCTCAAGATACAAAATCAATGTGCAAAAATCACAAGCATTCCTATACACCAATAACAGACTTAAAGAGAGCCAAATCAAGAACAAACTGCCATTCACAATTGCTACAAAGAGAATAAAATACCCAGGAATACAACTAACAAGAAATGTAAGGGACCTCTTCAAGGAGAACTACAAACCACTGCTCAACGAAATCAGAGAGGACACAAACAGATGGAGAAACATTCCATGTTCATGGTTAGGAAGAATCAATATAGTGAAAATGGTCATACTGCCCAAAGTAATTTACAGACTCAATGCTATCCCCATCAAGCTACCAATGACCTTCTTCACAGAACTGGAAAAAACCACCTTAAACTTCATATGGAACCAAAAGAGAGCCCGCATAGCCAAGTCAATTCTAAGCAAAAAAGAACACAGTAAGAGGTATCACACTACCAGATCTCAAACCATACTACAAGGCTAAAGTAAACAAAACAGCATGGTACTGGTACCAAAACAGAGATATAGACCAATGGAACAGAACAGAGGCATCACAGGCAACACAACATATCTACTACCATACAATCTTTGATAAACCTGACCAAAAATATAAAAAATAAGCAATGGGGAAAGGATTCCCTGTTTAATAATTGTTGTTGGGAAAACTGGCTAGCCATGTGCAGAAAGCAGAAACTGGACCCCTTCCTGACACCTTACACTAAAATTAACTCCAGATGGATTAAAGATTTAAACATAAGACCTGGCACCAGAAAAACCCTAGAGGAAAATCTAGACAAAACCATTCAGGACATAGGAGTAGGCAAGGACTTCATGAACAAAACACCAAAAGTATTGGCAACAAAAGCCAAAATAGACAAATGGGACCTAATCAATCTCCACAGCTTCTGCACGGCAAAAGAAACAGGCACTAGAGTGAATCAGCAACCAACAGAATGGGGAAAAAATTTTGCAGTTTACCTATCTGACAAAGGGTTGATATCCAAAATTTACAAAGAACTCAAAAAGATTTAAGAGAAAAAAACGAGCCCATTCAAAAATGGGCAAAGGATATGAACAGACACTTTACAAAAGAAGACATACATGAGGCCAAAAAACATATGAAAAAATGCTCATTATCACTGGTCATTAGAGAAATGCAAATCAAAACCACATTGAGATATCATCTCACGCCAGTTAGAATGACGATCATTAAAAAATCTGGAGACAACAGATGCTGGAGAGGATGTGGAGAAATAGGAACACTTTTACACTGCCGGTGGTAGTGTAAATTAGTTCAACCATTGTGGAAGACAGTGTGGCGATTCCTCAAGGACCTAGAAATAGAAATTCCATTTGACCCAGCAATCCCATTATTGGGTATATATCCAAAGGACTATAAATCGTTTTACTATAAGGACACATGCACACAAATGTTCATTGCAGCACTGTTTCCATAGCAAAGACCTGGAACCAACCCAAATGCTCATTGATGATAGACTGGACAGGGGAAAATGTGGCACATACACACCATGGAATATTATGCAGCAATCAAAAACGTTGAGTTCATGTCCTTTGTAGGGACATGGATGAATCTGGAGACCATCATTCTCAGCAAACTGACACAATAACAGAAAATGGAATACCGCATGTCCTCACTCATAGGTGGGTGATGAACAATGAGAACACATGGACACAGGGAAAAGAGCACTACACACTGGGGTCTATTGGGGGGAAAAGGGGAGGGACAGCAGGGGGGAGCTGGGGAGGGATAGCATGGGGAGAAATGCCAGATGTGGGTAAAGGGGAGGAAGGCAGCAAATCACACTGCCACATGTGTACCTGTGCAACTATCTTGCATGTTCTGCACATGTACCCCAAAACATAAAATGCAATTAAAAAAAAAAAGAAAGAAGCTGTCTAGGCTGGTATTAACCTTTTTCTTAAATTAAAAATGTTAATTATAAATTTAAGAAAATTGGGTTGATAGGTGCAGCAAACCACCATGGCACACATTTACCTATGCATCAAACTTGCACATCCTGCACATGTATTCTGAAACTTAAAATAAAATTAATGTTATCAATGTTCATTGTGAAAAATCACTATAGAAAGCATAAACTATCAATTCCATTATCTGGAAGTTATGTTTTTGTATTTTATATGTATATGCACAAATTTCATTCCCCTAAAAAGAGATTAGATATTGTTTGATAATATATCCACCTACATAATTTTACCACCTACCTCACGCTTACAATTCTTTCACTATGTGGAGGCAGAGTTCTATGTACTTTAAGTATATTAACTAACTTAATCATCAAACAACCCCATGAGGTTGGCATTGTTCATTGATTTCAGCAATGAGAAAGCTAAGAGAGGGAAGCAGCAGCCTTTCAAAGGTCACACAGAAAGTAATGACAGATCTAGGATTCATATCCAAGCATTCTGGCTCTAGGGTCCATGCTTCCCAACCATTATGACCCAATATTCAGCCAAATCAATACTGAGGGGCACGTGAAATTTATCCAGTACTTTTCTATTACAAACAAAAATCCAATGAACATTCTTGAAGCCATACACAAAAATAATGGTTACAATAGAAGTTACTGGAATTGAACATTTTGGTTCAACTTACACTAAAATTTAAGGCTTTTGATATAATGAATACATTTTTGAAATGATGAGTCTTACGTTTGTAGGGGAGCACACTCATGCGGGGGGAAAAGATTCATTGTGAAGCACACAGCACCTTATTTGGTTGGATCATCTCGTGATTAAAGTTCAGGCGTTATCTGCCCTGTAAGTGGCAGAATCAAGACGGCAATGTTGCCTGCTTTTCTTTTTAACTGATGCTTTCCCTTGACTACACTGCTCCTCAAAGCAAAACTCCTGTGTCAGTGTACTATTCATGGAACCACCTTCTAATATGTTTAATAATCAATCAAAATTTATTATACATATGTATACATAGATACTCATTTGCAAAGTTGTGCTTCAAAATAGTGATCTCTTCCCAACATTATATGTTAATGATATTGACAATTTGATAATGACCCATTGTACAAAATATTCCCCATTAATACAACAAAGACATAACTGAGCATTTCTATTTCCAGGCCAGCCATAAGCACAATTTTGCAATGTGATCATCTTAGAATTAATCTCTCAATACAGCAAAAACAAGAAACCAAGTTGATCTTCTTCCATTACATCCCCCATATCTGTAAATATTACTTTACACATCCAATTTCTGCTTATTTTAACCAGCCAAGTTTCTTTAAAAACAAAGTAAATTCTTTTAATAGCAATATTAAAGCTCTGTTTAAAACATCGTATAACAAACCCCACTGCATTTTAGATGGCTGTACATTTACATTAAAAATTCAAAAGCATTCACTGGGGGGAAAAAAGAAAGCTTTAAAAATATACTTTCTTGCACATTCAAATACCACCAATTTCCCCTTACACATATAAGGAAATAATACTACATATGTGAAAGTCAAATAAAATATAAAAATGAATCCCTAAAATTAAATTTTTATTTGGGAGAAAAGTATGGCAAATTAGGGCATACATGCAGACCAGGTGGTTTTCAGCATGTCCAAAGAACAAAGAGATGGTTAGAGGTTTTACAAAAAGGGAAGTCATACTGGTTGCTCCTTGAGAAAGTTTATCGGCACTAGTGAGGTCTTGGGGAAGTGGTAGGTTTTGAGTGGCGAGTGAGGGAGTGTGCAAAACACAGGGGTTGTTTCAATAGCCATTAGATAAAACTGGCTTCTGATTACAGCAGGCAATTTCAGCAACTAGGCTTGCAGAGAATTCCGTTCTCAGAGCAATATTTTGTGCCTTGAGCTCTTTCTCCCCCTGGCTTCTTGACTGTCTTTTAGTTGAGTATTTCAAGATTGATCCAGTTTGTATAATCAACTTTCACACAAGCTCAAAATGGTGACATTAAAATAAGAAGACTTAAAAGGAAAATAAATAGTCTAAGTCTAAAACACACAGATTTTAAGGTCAAATTAGAAAACAGAAAATGTAGAAATTATCCAATTTTTAGATACACATTTAATGGACAGAGTTTCTTAGCATCCAGAGGGCTACAGAAGGAATACAGCATTTCCCATGAATGCCTTGTGCATTTTACAGATCCAATTCAGGCTCATCCTGCAAATGCCTTCAGATTCATCATGCAGTCAGCTCTGTCTCCTTGATTTCTCACTCCAAATAAGGTGAGCCAAAAAGAGGTTGACTCATCCCTCACCAGACTCAAATGGCAGTTGCCATTGGCCTGAGAAAAAAAGGAAAAGGCAGTGTGCCAAGCCTAGGAAAAAGTATGAAGCAGACAATGTCGCCTTTCCTACCACCCACATTGCCTATGGCCTCCCCTTGCTCCTGAAGGCCTGTGTCTGCATGTTGCCCTCTGACTGTCCAAACACCCTACTTGGGCTGCCTTCTCCCAACGTTCCCTCTGTTCTAAAATGACAACTTGATCTTTTTCTTTCATACATTCGAAATTTCTGTTTCTTCTATTATTTCAAAATTTCTCTGGAGAAAGCAAACTGATTAAAAATTAATTAATTAATTAATTAATTAATTAAAGGATGATGGAAAGCCTGGAGTACTTGTTACTTAAGAGGGTCTCCACTGGAAGTGTTGCTGACAATGTTAGCCGAAACCTGAAAGAAGGGGGCTCACAAGGCCTAGCTTTTCTTGATTCCTGCCAACGCCACTCAGAAGAAGGGCAGTGAGGAGGGTAATGACATTTTGTAGCTCCCAGGCCTTGATCAGGTGTCAAGTCTGTGGGGTTTAGGTCTAAGGACAGTCAATCTCCCCTGGGTGAGTAAGATCCACCCGCTCAGCTCCCTCTAACCTCTAAATTCTAGGAAGACATGTTATTTGGTTCTAAATTAAAAAGATGTTGGTCAGTATAAGTGAGAACAGAAACAGCAATAAAGGATTTAACTTCAGTAAAGGTAAGTTTTAAAATGTTTTTGTTATTAGCGCCCCCCCCGAAAAAACACTCCATCTCTGGACTCTTGCTACCAAAAAGCAGGGAACTCTAGCTACAGTGAATATTCCCCAGTTTGCTAGATTGTGGATACAGAAATCTTTGCACAGACTGCAAGCAAACCTCCTGTTCCATCGGGTTCCCTCTTTTCTTCCCACAGAAACCAGAAAAGTTTAATTCATTTACAATTTTAAACAAATTACACAAATGGACAGGAACTATATCCTGATAGATTCAGTTATAATGCAGCATTTGAGAGCTAGACCGAGCTCTCTCTTTTTTCTATTATAAGACAAACTATACCCATCTCATTTCAAATTATTACCATTTTCCTTTTTGTTTTCATTTCATTTTAAATGTTGCATTGATTAATAATAATATACATACACACATTTATTTCCAATTATATTTCTATAGAAAATTGCTACTTCATGGGTCACTTTAACAAATTTTGCCTCCAAAGTCAAATGAATTTGGTAGTGCAGTAGGGGTGAGTCCCAACCCTTGGTGAGCTGCAAAATTTTTAATTTAATTCAGTCTTCATCCCATTGTTTCTTTTTTAAAACTTTCTTCACATAGTGATACCTGATATTTCTTGTTTATTTTTTAAACTATCACTCTAAGTGAATATATCATGTGATATTAGCATGATTTAGCTATTGTTGGACTAATTTTTATCCAACATATTTATTAGGAAAACATCTGTAACAAAGAGCAGATGCTTTAGAGACCTGAAATCCAATGCTGCAGCCTGAGATTTACCAGTGGTCTGTTTTAACATTTTTCACTTCTTGAAAAAGATAATCAACAACTTGCTTTAAAAATAAAAATTGGTGAGTAGCATAATTGAAAACTGAGAAAAAAATTATCATAGTCATGCATGCTGAAATTGAACTTTACAATATTATTTCTGGAAACCTCCAGAATGTCTGGCAAAGACCTAATTGTAGCACTGTGACATTATCTCTTTGTGCATGCTTCTGCTAATGTAATAAATTTGGGTTCCAAATTGTTTAAAAAGTCAAGGCCGTCTTCTTCCTGTTTTTCACTGCAACAGCCCACAGAACCAGCTGGAGATCCTCTTCCTTCATAGTTATACGCGAGGACATAATCTTGAGATGGCATTTGGTCTTCATTCTGATTACATCGATGCAATTTCTGTGAATTTTTTAAAAAAAACAAATTGTACTATAGTTTTAAACAACTTAAATATATGAACTTAAAATGTATTTTTATTTACCTTTTATGTTTAATTTTTAACCAGTGTGTCCTCTAATGGATTCCTACACACAAAAAATGCACATGATTGGTCTATATCATAACCATACCATAAAGTCAGTATATTTTACATTTCTATTAATCCATATAAATAAAAAAGTACATTTAAGTACATTCAAGTTAGCATTAATGCTTATCCCTAATTTTATATACAAAGGTCAGGCTAGTCCAAAAACAGAGACAACAGGCATACTGGTTCGGAGTTTGAGATTGGTGGTCAAACAGTCTTGGTTGTGAGTCAAAACTCTGGCTTTATCATCTAGCTCTATGGCTTTGGGCAAGTGGCCAAGTATCTTTCATTTCAGTAACCCACCTAACAAGATTATTTTAGAAATTAATGACAAAACAATAATGCATAATACATGTATTATGTCCAGCATATATTAAATGTACAATAAATGTTAACTAGAATACTATTATATGCAGTTATAAGGTAGGTAGGATTTACTGCATTAACTTCAAAATCAAGTTTCCAAGATAGCCAAAATATGGCAAAATATGTAGATGCACCAAAAAGTTCAATGGAATTCAAAATAATGAACATAATCACATTGCAAAAACTGGGCTTTTATAATGAAAAGGCCGTGCATTCATCCACATCTTCCCTGTCTGCCACACCACTGGCCTGTCTGCCAACTTGTCAACTGCTGTGCCTCCTCCCTTTCCCCACCCATGTGCCCACTCCTTGCCTGTGTGGAGCTCACTGGCATGGCTTATGTTGTGTCTTTCCTCATGACGTTGTTAGCCATTACCCATTACCTCGTGTGCAATAGAGGAACCCTCCTAAGACTGTATCTTAAGCTTCACTCCATCTCAACCTGATCTTACATGAATACTGACTGTCTAGAAGTAGAAAAAGAATTAACACTTGAATTTGACCCTCCAACATGCTATGGATACATAACATACAACCCTATACCAGAATATCACCCATTTGTATTCCATCCAAGGATTAAAGGCCCAGTGTTTGTGCTGCAATGGCACAGATATCCTCTGATAAAAGAGGTGAAAATTTAGTACCAGAAGAATCAAGCAGCTTTCTACCTAGCAGCACATTTGAATCATCTCAGAAACGTAAAACAAAAACAAAGCAAACAAAAAAGCCCAAATTCATTGAATTAGAATCTTTTAGACATTAGTATGTTTTAAACTTCATAGGTGATTTTGCCAGGCCCAGTGGCTCACGCCTATAATCCTAGGACTTTAGGAGGCCAAGGTGGTGGATCCCTTGAGCCTAGGAATTGGAGACCAACCTCGGCAACATGGCAAAACCCCCTCTCCACAAAAAACATAAAATTAGCCAAGCATGGTGGTGCACACCTGTAGTCCAAGCTACTCAGGAGGCTGACGTAGGAAGATCACCTGAGCCCCTGAGGTCAAGGCTGCAGTGAGCAGAGATTGCAGCACTGCACTCCAGCCTCAGCAACAAAGCAAGACCCTGTCTTAAAAAAAGAAAAAAGAAAAAAAGAAAAAAGCTTCAAATTCATAGGGGATTTTGATGTGACCAGATAATGCCTTATTTTAATTCCTTCTTTTATATTATTGCTTTCCTTAGAGTAAAATCACTTATATTTGCATGGTGCTTTGTATGTTTAAATCATGCAGTGGTGACTATAGTTAATAATACTATATTGTACATTTCAAAATTGCAAAGAAAGTACATTTCAAATGTTCTCACCATAAAAAAATTATTTGAGGTGATGCATATGTTAAGTGTGATTTAATCATCCTAGCTTGCAGACATAAATAATAATTTCACTTTGTGCCCCATAAACATATACAATTATAATTTGTCAATTTGCAATAAGATGCAATAGATAAAAAATATATAAATCATGCTATTTAATCTTTATCCTAAAACTGCATACGAATGTTTGTGTTTTCACAGAGAAATACAGATTTAATTTGAAAAGTTTTTAATTGTGAGGAACTAGAATTGCTTTCACATTCTTCTATATCAAAAAGGTTCACAAGGTAAATGCACCACTAAAAATGAGACATTAGTGAAGAATAATAAAAACTTCCAATATTTATGGGATTTATAAATTAAGGGAAATACGACAAACTAAATAAAATTTCTTTTAAATTAAATAACGTAACAAAATCAAAGAGCACAGGAAAATGAACAAAGCGAGCAAAAGAGGGCCCACAGAATAGTGTGGAAAAGCAGTTTCTGAAAATTTATGTTAATTTGGATTTTCTATTTTTCTGCATTTGGAGATTTAAATTTTAGAGTCAAAACACCTAAGGAAACTCACTTCACCAAGACGGGGTTGAGTAAAACTGTGCCACTCCGAGTAAGTGTATCTGCAGTTGTCCACCTCCGTGTGTCCTCCCCTGCAGGAATCCAGGGTGTGATGGTGCCCAGCCCCCTGGCAGGATTCCAAGGTCTGGTTTCCTCCTTTCATCATTTCAATGGTTTCTTGCCCTCCGTTTTTCATTCCTGATCCCACAGTACCACAAAAACCTTGGCTAGAGTTGTTGACAGTCTGCGTCATAAATCCATTGGCAGAACACTGAAATAATAAAATAAAATAAAAAATTAATGTCTAGAGGAAATGGGTTCTAAGTTGTCATGAGAATGCAAAAAAGAGAGAACATTTATCCAACCTTTTATTCATTCATTCATTCATTCATTCATTCATTCATTCAACAGACATTTATCAGTTTCTAATTATGTGCACAGATGCCGTCTTTATTCAGCCTGACCAACATGAAGAAACCCTGTCTCTACTAAAAATACAAAAAATTAGCCAGGCGTGGTGGCACATGCCTGTAATTCCAGCTAATCAGGAGGCTGAGGCCGGAGAGTTGCTTAAACCTGGGAGGCAGAGGTTGCAGTGAGCGGAGATCACGCCATTGCACCCGAGCTGGGCAACAAGAACAAAACTCAGTCTCAAAAAAGAAAGAAAAAGAAAAAACAAAAACACGTGGGATGCCCAAGATGAATATATGAATATGCAGACTTGGAGCTCTGATGAGAGATCTGAGCTGAAGATATAATTCTGGGAGTCACTCCCAATAGGTGATAGTTGAAGCCATGGGAAGAGATGACCTATCCAGAGAAAATTGTCAACTGAAAGAGAAAGGGCTAAGTCTAGAACAACAAGAAAAATCACATTTTAAGGGATGGATAAGAGAAGCATGGCTGTGACAGGAGAGATGTGAGTAGCCACTGAGATAACAGAAAACCAAAGAGGCAGGACTCAAGCCACGAAGAGAGAATATGGTAAAGAGTGGGAGCAGTCAGTGATGTTAACAGCAGAAATATCAGAGCAAGGTAAGAATGGGTCCAATTAAAGTATAAATGCCCATTGGATTTAAGTGAAAGAGTGGCCATTAATAACCTTGGTCAAAATGATATCCAAGGAGTACTGAGTAAGCAGGAAGTAGTATTATAGAGAAATCATATATAATGTTGTCTTCACAAAAGTTCAGTTTGAAAGAAAAAGACAGATGTGGAGAAAACTAGAGGATGACAAAGAGTCAAAGAAATACTTCAAAATGAAAAAGGCTTGATGAAACATTAACTTAATACTGGAACTTCACCCAACCCTCTGAGCCATAGGACACACATTTGGTTACAGTGGCACCTCAACATGTCAGTTTTCATTACAAACAGTTACATTCCTTTCAGGACGAGAACCCCCATTGCCTTCAGGTTCTATTGTGCCACCTTTCTATCAATTTAAATTTTTTCCTACTTAAAATGAAGACTTTCACTAAACTGGAAGAGTCTCAAGTCCGGAAGATTCTCAAGTACGGATGATTTGCTGAACCTGAAATATACCTACAAAATCATACTATCTTGTTGCCTTAGAAAAAAAAATGCCAGAAAAGAAGAACTGAAAAATAGCCATGTGGTGGCAGTGCTACCCTACATTGTTTTACTTAGGTTGCTGTTACAATAAAATTGAATTACAAGAAAAAAAAACAACTCCTGACTATTAAATCTTTTTATGGTATAATTTTGTTGCAATAAACACAAATTCAAAGATCATATTTCCAAGTGAATAAAAGAGGAATTTAAAATAAACTGAAAGCAATTTTGAGCCTACAGGGCTAGCTTTCATACTTTCTATTCTCTGCTCCTTCCCGTCCTCCATCTGTGTTTCCCAGAGTTCCTTCTCACAGGGTATCAATAACTCCTTATCCATGTCAATAATTTCCAGGTGTGCTTTTCCAGTACTGATTGTTCACCCTACTAGTAACCCATATGCATGCCTTCAAATGAAATTCAGATCCAAAGCTAAAATTATAACTTTTCCTCATTGTATTAAGCTAAGTTTATAGATTCAATATAAACTTTTATGTTCTTATATAAATTAATAATTCCAGGCCTTTTACAGAAGTGTTTCTAACACAGAACAGGTAAGTATTGTGAAGTGGCCACTCGATATCATCACCTTGGCATTAAATGGCAAAGGACAAATATTAAGTAGAAGCCATCCATGCCAGTCTTAAATATAAAATAAGAACTTATTATTATGAGTCAAGGACTATTAAGGGATTAAATCTACTTTCTCACTGGAGAGATAATCACAGGGTTCTACATGAAGGCATGTCAAGCATAGATGGGCTATGATTTTGTATGGTGGTGGGAAGGATTGAAAGAGAGAAATAGTGAATAAGAAAGGCATCTTCACCCTGAGACATAGAAAAGGCCAGATATGTAGCTGTGGTCCCTGGCTATAGCCTCTGCCACTTTGACTCTGATCTTTACTTTGTTCCTTAAGTTCAGTCAGTCAACAACCTTATCACTTATACCTTTGAAATATATCTTATTCATCCCTGTCTTAAGACAACAATTACCATCATCCTGGTAGAATTATCTCATGCTTAAACTAAGCTTTCCTCTTCCCCGACCCTGATATCTTCCCAGTCTCACTGATCCCCCTACTGACTCAGCCTCACGCCACTTGCATTATAATTTTCATATAGAAAAGCCTTGGCAGGCTTTCCCTTACCAAGAGTATAAATCCAAAATCCTTAGTGCAGCATTTAAAAGTCCTATCTCCCACTTCTCTCTTAATATTCTCTTCCCTAACACCTCACTTGTTTCGAGCCACTATTCCAACACATGATTTCTTCTATTCTAAATCAATTTATTTATTATTTGCTGAATAGTCCCTAAACTTTATCATCTCCTGTCTTATAGGCAACGCTGTTTTCCTCTTCTTTAGCTATTCTTACCATCTCTTCATTTTCAAACCTTCTTATTCTTTAAGCTACCAAGTAAGCTGTACCTCTTGTCACCAGACTTTCTGGTTGATCCAAACCAAATGAGTACATTTAGGTATCATAGGTATTTTTGAACCTCAACAGTGCTTTATCACATTGGTTTATTGTCATGTTTCTATTTTGCTTTTCCATCAAAGTAGGATCTATTTCTCATAAATAAGTGGACATCTTTTTTGAGGCGAGAACATGCATTGTAAGTACTTTTGTGTGTGTGTGTGTGTGTGTGTATGTGCGTGTGTGTGCATGTGTGTATGCATATATTTTACACAAAACAAGAAGCATAAAAGCACCTCAGAAGTTCCAAAATATATATAAGGAAAGAGAGTGGTAGTAATCTTCTAGACCCCTCTTCCTTTCTTTTAGATATCTCATTGATATTTTCCTAGTTATCTTGAGAACTTTCAGCAAGCTTTTCCCCCCTATTGTAAGTGGTCAAAAAGTTAGATAAACAAATTATATCTGGAAATATACATTGTAGAGTGCAGCCAAAACAAATTATTGTTATAATAAATTCTCAACATCAAAGAACAAGTTTATAACACTAGAGTGAAAAAAAGATAACTAAAACAATACATCTGGATTAAGAAGTTTAATAAATTATCACTATATAAACATTAGAATATTGACAGACAAAATAATTATGCCTACTAAATGTGATTCAATTAAAAATAAAAATTAACTCCTACATTTTGAAATGAGTTTATAAGGATGAATTAAAGAAATTATGGGAGATACAAACACATATTCATTTAAAAAATACTTACCACTCTGTCATCTCCAGGTGCTTCTGTGTTTGATATAATTAAGTTTTGCTGTGCTAAATCTTCAGGAAAGCGTTTCCCTTTAGTTACACCAAAAACTCCACATACTAAAGTTAGCAATACAGCTGAATTTAAAAATAAAAAGAACTTACTTCAGCATACATAGAATAAAATATTCATAATTCACTTCTTATGACCTAATGATCAAAGTGGAAAATGAAGACACTAAACATGGTTTCCCATGAATTATCTTGGCTGTTCTAAATTAACATGTTACCATGTAGCTTAGATTTTAGAATCTGAAGCAATCATCTGTATTTTTTCATTATATCTCTCTAATTGTTTGAATTCTGCCCATCAAGATAAAGTACTTAGAATCATGAGTTAAGCAGTATATTAAAAAATCACTGACATTTAAGACAAAGACTTTGAAAAAAATTTAGTTATTCCCCCCCAAAAAAATTTTCCTACATGAAAATGTGAAAAGAGAATGGTTTGTATATATAAAAACATGAAAATACAGACTGTTTTCCTAGAAAATATTTATCTTAATTGAACCTACTTTGTATTCTGCCTATTCAGAATTCTTATTCTAAACTGTAATTCTGGGAGACTGAAAATATATGATAATTAAACTAAGAATAATAACAACAACAATTCTTCCTGTCTAAAAGACCAGATACTGCACTGGCAAAATCCCCAAACCCAGACCACTACATATTTTTGTATGGCCTGTGAACTAAGACCTCTTATTTTCAAATGGTTGAAAATTTTCAGAAGAATAAGAGTTTATAATGTGAAAATGACATGAAATTGGATACAATGGAGAACACAGGATCTGCAAAGCTTGAAATATATACTATCTGGTTCTTTACAGAAAAAGTGTGCCAACTGTTGTCTACTCTATGTGGTCCCACCCTACCTTTCTGGCTCCACTACTCTCTCACCACAGTGGTTTCCCTACCACTCCTTGGTTTCTCCAGACATAATCACAAATTAGGGCCTTGGCATTTGACTTCCCTCTCTGACTGAAAGTTCTTCCCCCAGGCATTCCACCTAGCTAACTCACCTCTTCCAGAAATGATTAAAAAATAATCTTCTCAGGGAGGCTGAGGTGGGTGGATCACCTGAGGTCAGGAGTTCAAGATCAGCCTGGCCGCTGTGGTGAAACCCCATCTCATTAAAATAATAATAATAATCTTCTCAGGCCTGATCTAACTCTTTATTGAAAATTGCAACCACTGGGACCAACACCCTCACAAATGCATTCCATGGCACTACAGATCCTATTTGGGTCTCTTTTTTTTTTCTTTCATAGCATTTAATTTATTCATTAACTATCACAAGGCAGACTGATTATTTTTGTTTGTTTGTTTGCCTTTTCCTATTTTTCACAAGCACCTAGAACAGTTTCTTGCCTACAGTAGGAGTTTGATATATGCTTATTTTTTGGCTTGATGAAAAATAATGAACACATGAGAAATTTACTATGTACTGTTCTAAGCACTTCACATGCATTATCTCATTTAATCCTCAGTACTACACCGTACGGTAGGCTACTACAATTTCCCCTTTTACACACGAGGAAACTGAAGCACAGCTAAGTAATTTCCCTAGGTCACATGGCTTACAAGTGATGAAGCTGGAGTACAAACTCAGGCAGTCTGATTCCTGAGTCCTTGCACTTCACTTCTACTCCTATCACAAAACAAAGCTAATCTAGACTGGAGGACTGAATGGAACTAAAAAGAGAAGAAAAAGTATAGCACCATCAGGAGATACCTCTGGTAAGAAAGAGGTTAACAAAATTTAAAATTGTCAAGATATACCCAAGAAGAGACATTGCTGAGAACAGAACATCTCCTGTAACTCTGTGGCTAAATGGTAAGAAGACATGGAATGAAAGTGGCTTGTAGTGGACATTCATAAGGCAGAAATTTTAGGTTGTTCTATTTAGCCCTAAAAGGACTCTCACTGAAAACAAGAAACAAAGGCTGTTTGTCAGATTCAGTGAAATCTACGGAATTTCAAAACCTCTGTCTAAGCATAAAATCTTATCTCAAGAAGGATCATGTCCCCTTCACAAAAAATATTCAAACAAAACTCAGGTAATAACACAAAAAGAACTTGGAAAGAGCTTCACACCTGGTGGATGTTTGGACAAGATTATTTTTTAAAGATCTTTTCCAGTACCTGCATTTTTTATTACATGTTTTAACTTGAAGTGAAAATACTTACAAAAGAGCAGTGCTATACCCAGTAATATCGCAAGGATTGCCCATTTTCCAAGTATTACTCCTGCACTCCTTGAAGTCTCATGACACTGACTTGGATGAGGACAATCACACAGATTAACTCTCAACATTTTTGTTGCAGATTGGCCTGCCCTGTCTTTTACAGTAATAGGAATGATATATTCTTGAAATCCAGCATTTTTCCGATATGAAAGACGGGCAGCTGTATCTGAAAGAAAATAAAAGAAGTTAATTTTTTAATGATCATTTAGTCTTCCCTTAGCATTTGTTTCATCATGCTTGTTTTTGAAGGCAACATTCTCAAGGAACTGCCTGCCACATGAAAATAAATAAAAATGGAGGACTATCTTCAATCTTTTCAAACTCTAGTATTACCTTGTATGTGTTGTCCCTTGTAATTCCATAGAAGGGAGTCTTAAAGAAATGATTTGGCATTGGAGTGGCCTATTAGCATTCTAGTATTATTTATCTATACAAACTAGTAATGTTATGTTGACTGTTAACATACACTTCAAGCATTTTTCTTTAGTACCAGTGTATCTATTCATAAAGAATTAGTAACTACACGTACACACAAATAGTGTCTGAAGTTCACATTCTCTTATCCGTTGACCTTCTAGTATTTGCCCATTATTCATATGGATAAGGGAATTTTTCAAAGCACAATAGATTGTTTATGATTAATGCCTTGCATCTATAAGTAATCTTAGTACCAGAAGCTAATTAATGCACTCAGGCTACTTATAAGACTTACACAAACAGAAATATCTATATAACAATTTGTTTTTATCAACTGTGATAGTCTATTTTCCCCAATAGTCTTGGTCTCTTATTTTGATGACCATATTTCCAACTAACTAAAAGCTCCACAGAATTTCAGTGCAATTACAACCTCCCTGAGTTTTTATAATAGACTAAGTAAAATGACAAAGTAGCACAATACATACCCTGGAAGTCATCTGGAATTCCTAAGCCTTGATTAAATGCTCTGCTGTGGCTGTAAGAATTTCAGAGATTTTGGCTGCACCTCATACCTGAAGGCTCCCCAGAGGAATATGAATTACCACTTGGGTTTATGTAGGACCCTTCAACACCACACCATGTCTAAGGGAAGATCCCTGAAATCTCTCCCCGCCCTCAAGACAACATGTGGAGCCATATTCGTATCTTAGTTATTCACAGTAGTGCATTGGCCTCTGATTTTCCTTTACTCAACTCTGCCCCCTTCATTTTGTCCTCCTGTTACCAGTGTCACCTTTAAAAGACATAAATCTGGGAATGGTATTGCCTTACTTGCACATTTCCAATGCATAACTGCTGTCACCTACTGTACCAAGGGCAGTCCCCTCAGCCTGGCACACATGCCTTTCACCACCAGATTCCATCCTTCCTTCCACCCAACCTCTTGGCATTCTAAGTAAAACCTTCTAAATTCTAATGACATGATGCACTTATTCTCCTAGTATGTTTCTTCTTTTATCCACACAAGTAATTATTGAATAAGCAAACATTTATTAAGCAGTTAGTATCTACTAAGTATTAGGCTAGGTGCTGGAAGCACAAAGATGGATTGTAAATGTTCTAGGAAACTCATGTATTGGAAGGGAGAGGTAATCAGATGTAAATGCAACAGGAAACGTATTGCAATGCAGGTAGCAAAGGGTCATGGTGCCATTCCTTCCAATTGAAGCGTCTCAGCTGGGATTGTGCCTGTCTTGTTCATCTCTATATAAATCCTCAGGACCTGGACTAGCACCTAATAGATAGTAGGTGCTCATAAATTTCATGGAAAGAAATCATGCTCATAAATATCAAGCTAAGAAATGGAAAAAGAGGTATTCTAAGTAGATGGGGCCATACACACAAAAGCCCAGTTGCATGAAAGAACATGGCAGTAACAACAGAGTGATGAAGTACAGAACATGACACCCCCAGAAACTGCTACAATAGACGGCAACCCCTGAACACTCCTTTCCATATCCCTTCCCATAACCCACCAAGTTCACTTCCAAGATACCCCAGAGTGCTTGGTCTATAAACCTGGGTTTCTCACTTCCAGAGTCAGCTTACAATACACTTTAAACTACACATCTGCTCTCTCCTCACCTCACTGGTATCATTGTTATTATTATTATTACTATTTGGAGACGGAGGCTCACTCTGTCTCCCAGGCTGGGGTGCAGTGGTGCGATCTCGGCTTACTGCAACTTCTGCCTCCTGGGTTTAAGTGATTCTCCTGCCTCAGCCTCCCAAGTAGCTGGGATTACAGGCATGTGCCACTATGCCGGGCTAATTTTTGTATTTTTAGTAGAGATGGAGTTTCACCATGTTGGCCAGGCTGGTCTTGAACTCCTGATCTCAAGTGATCCACCTGCCTCAGCCTCAATGAGTGCTGGGATTACAGGCATGAGCCACCATGCCCAGCCACTGGCTTTATTTTTTAAAACATACACACACAAAAAATGTTTGTCTTAATGATAAGCTGCTTAACAAAGGTTTTCTTTGTTGTAAATGTAAATTTTGCCTTCCTGAAAATTATAATTTCCTTTACTTTATCTATAATATTGCCCCCATACAATATTTAAAAAACGTTAGTTTAGCCTTCTAAAATATATTAATGAGAATCAGTTTTACTTCATGCATTGTGTAAGTAAATAAGTAAATCCACCCTCCAGTTAGTCTCAGTTATTTCAGAGTTTATAAAACATTATTTTTGATTAAATACCATTAACTTTGGTGAGGGTCCACAGTCTATTGACTTCTGGAGAAGTGTTTGGCAAACTGAAATAAAATGGAGCTCCATGGACAGCTTCATCGGGATCAATAGCTGAAATGTCAGTGTACTCCATTTTTGGTTTGCAGATTACTACATAGTCTTGAAGTATATCTGGCGGATTATCATTTACATCTTCAATATCCACAGCAAGTGTTCCAGTACATGATCTGTTATCTAAGAAGAGAAGAATAACGTTTAGTGTTATTTTAAAATTCTTTTATAATTTCTTAAAGAATAAAAAGTCCATTATATTCTATATATGATGTGTTTTAAGTAAACTAATTATTAAAGGAAATGGTAAATAAATAATAATAGATGAATAAATAGAATTTGCAGATTATCTGAAATGACCATTGCTAGTGATAGTATCAGATGCCACTGCCAATAAATCTTTTACCAGAATTACAACCAAATAAAAATAAAAGTCTGAATTCCAATCTCTATTTCTGGGGATTCCAAGTGCAGATGTTAATAAGTAGTAAAGTAGTTACAGACAAGATTTCTAATCCCAGTAGATATTCATACCACTAGGAAGATTTTTTTCTTAAATATAAGTTTCCCAGGCTCCACAACCAGAGATTCTGATTCAGTTAGTCTAACAAAGTATCTACAGATTAATATTCTTATTTTAATATGAAGACAGGGTTGAAAAATTCTGGGTTATTTTAAGGAACAGAATTTAAGAAAAGGATTATTTTGACCTAATATTCAGCGGAACTACATAAAAGCTCAATTTGAAGTGATGCAAACTAATGTGGAAGAGTCTGGTGAGGCCATTTTATTTAGTTTTAGATGTAAGCTTTACCTTTGTCCTCTAGCACAGAAATATATAAGAATTTAAGGTCTTACCCTACTGGGAATATAGAGATAAATAAAACATGGCCTCTTGTCACCAAACAGTTTCACCTTGTTAGGTAATTAAGAGAGACACAAAGAGTCTTTAAAGTAACTTCAAAGAATTCCATATGCTTACCACCAAAACAAAAAACAACAACAAAAATCTGCATAAGAATAGCTGCATTTTATTCTCTAATTCCTTCATAAAATACCAGATTAAAATCTTTTTTTTTTTTTACCTTGGTCTATTGCCAGGACTGTAATATTATACAACTCATTTTTGGGAGTTTCGACCTCCCTGTCCAGGGTTTTGGAAGTTATGATTGACCCTGAAATTTCATCAATGGTGATCCAACCTTTAGGGTCATGCAGTTTTTTGTATCTGTTAATAAAAAATAAAAATAGTCTTTAGCATTAGAAAATGTTTTCAAATAAGCTACTATCTCAATGATTACAAATACATTATTAGTATGTGATTATAGATTTCTTTTTACCTTAAACCATTGCTACTTCTAGAGTCAGGGTCATATGCCTTATAGCCATTGATCTTTGACCCCACTGCTAAGTTTTCTTTAATCCGCACAAATTGGGCTGCAGGGCTGCATTCAGGCCCCTCATCCACATCCCTCACATGAACTGTAACCAAGGCTCTGTTCAAGGCTGTCATTCTGGGTATATCTCTCATAAATGGCACTTCATTGCTTACTCCAATTTCCAGGTTCACTTGACGGTTTTCTTCATAATTCAGTGGCTTTAAAGTAAAGTCCATGTATATTAGTATCAGTGTAAAATACATTTGGTATTTCAAATAGCAAATGGAAATTTGTCATTCTGACCAGTGCTGCATAAATTCTATGTTCACATTTTGTTAATACTGACTCTTATCCCTTGCTAAAAAGAGAGTGGATCGGGGGCTAAACCTTTAGCAAGAATGGTCCCAAAGCTTCCGCAGGTGGTTTTATAGAGTTGGACAAAAGAAATTCCTGAAATATTTTTATATTTTGCTCTTATTAAGGAAAATTATTCTGATTCAAAAAATAATGCAAACAGATGACAGTATTCTCATGGCCCTACTTGGAGCGTTGTCTAAAAGGCTGGGCTAAGGGTCATCTGAGTCAGGGAAGGTGCCTTCCTTTGGCTTATTAGTTACTACTGACTATGGTCCAGGCATTTTATCACTCTTGTAAAGTTAGATGTTGACTTTCAGAAAATCAAAAAAGGTGCAATGATTTTATTTTCTGTCTGATAGAAAAGATATTCCAAATGTCTTGGTGTTTTATTTATTTATTGAGATGGAGTCTCACCTTGCTCTGTCACCTAGGCTGGAGTGCAGTGGCGTGATCTTGGCTCACCGCAACCTTTGCCTCTCAGGTTCAAACGATTCTCCTGCCTCACTCAGCCTCCCATGTAGCTGGGACTACAGTCACATGCTACCACCCCCAGCTGATTTTTGTACTTTTTTCTTTAGTAGAGATGGGGTTCTGCTATCTTGGCTAGGCTGTTCTCGAACTCCTGAACTCAGATGATCCACCTGCCTCAGCATCCCAAAAATGTTGAGATTATAGGCATGAGCCACCACTCCTAGCCCCAAATGTCTGTTTTAATTGCCCTCTAAGGTATCTAACTGAGCCATCTAATTTCTGATTTTACTTTTTTCAAAATCCATCCGGAGGCTAATTTCTTCTTAGGAATCAACTTGTCTTTTTGCTGGTTCCTTCATGAGTGAGTTAAAACCTTTATCCATCCATGCCCACTATCTATTTTCATGAAAATTACATTTTTGAAAAGTTGAGAATTATACTTTGTCTTTATCTATAATTCATCCAATGAAACGTTCACAGTGGATACACAGAGGAGTAAGGGAAATACAATGTGCTTCATTTAATTATTATTGCATAGAAGGCACTACTCGAAGCAGTGAAAATAAACTCACTAAATCCTCATGTCATTATTGAACAAGTTTTATTAGCCTCATCCTCATTTTACACAGCAGAAAACAGGTAAAGGAGATAAACTGATTTTGTGTAAGGCCGAAAGATTATCATTTGTGCTTGACTTTGAAGCTAAGTAGTCCAACCTGAGTCCCTTTCCTTAGCCACGCTATAATCCCTCTGCTACACTGTGCTGCTTGATTGGCTTACCAGCTTCTAAAACATTTTCAAATCAGTCTTTGACTAAAATTCAGTTTTAGATAATAAATCAAGTAAAACCCATAAAACATTATTTTACACTGTACCACAAAGTTGAAGCACTTTTTCTTCAATTTCTCGTCCTGCTTATCAAAACAGTCACTGACTAAATATTGAACAAAATCAAAATTGGTGAGTAAAGTTATTTTAAATCTTTCTCCACACCTAGGTATTAATGGAGTAAAACACTAGCATCACAAGTCCACTAAAAAGTCAAGAAAATTTCTGAATCTTAGAATCTACAAAATGTATGGAAAACCTTTTTTATTTTGTATGAATATTCCAGAACTGGAGAGCCAAGGAAAAGCAATATTAATATCTGTTCATTTGATGCTGATGAACACTGCTTCACAAATTTCATGTGTTGGTGTGATCACATGGAGAGTAAGAGCAGCTGTTGGCAATGAGAAATGGATGGAAATTTAGAGAACAGCTGCTGCACTGGAGGAGGCACAACTATTCAATCCAGAACCACTTGCTAAAGCCTTAGAGTTTCTTTGCCCAATTTTTCAAGGCTTATGATGGATATTGCCCTAGTAGCTTAAACTCTTCGACATTAAAAATCTGGTGAGATGAAATCCCAAAGATTAATGGGATTAACTAATTAAAAGGAAAGCATGTAAATTCTCTTCCACTCAGGGTACATTTTTGTTTCACCACTTAAAAAGTATTCATATATATCCCATATTGCACTGAGATGTTAACGACTCCCTAGAAAATGTATAGTTATGGAAATGGATGTTGAGAAAGATCAAGAATAATATCCTCACTCAAGCCCATATGCACCACTGCTGCTGCTCAAATGAACAGAAGACACTGAGATGGAATAAGTTTACCCAGGACTCAGCGAAAGGCGGTGTCACTCATGCTTTGTGGTTATAGAAACGTTATCTATCACATAACACTAGTCTCAAGAACATAATATAACTTTTAAAATAAAATAATAATATCCTACAGTTTACCAAGTGCTTTTATGTTCAATATTATATTTGAAGAGCTATTAGGGAGGCAGAGAGAAATAATTGTTCCCATTTTCAGATAATACAGAGGATAGCTTTCCAAGGTCACACAGCTGTGGAAAACAATTTAACATAGTGCTTGACAGCATATACTTAGAATCAAAGAGCCAGGTTCAAATTCTATCTATACTACATCCCATCTGTGTGGCTTTGGGAATGTTTTTTAGTCTCTTTAACTTTTCTCTTCTGTGAAATTGTTGTAAGAATGACATTAAACACTACAGCATAAAATAAGTGCTTTCTACTAAATTCTGAGTAATCGCTTAAGCTGCCACAGAGGCAAATGAAGGGAATAAATGATGTATTTTTTGTTAACAGCCAATATAATGCAACAATAAGAGAAGTTAACAAGACAATGTTTACAAGCTTTTTTCAGCTAAAGGAAGTATACCAGAGCAATTCTTGATTTGGCCTACTGATTACTTAATTCTTTGAGGTATAAAGGAAGGACTAACATGGACTCTTTTCCTGAATATAATTCTGACTATCATGAGTTAACAACAATGATGTAATTCTTTAATCAGTATGCAAAAGGTTAGTCATCATTAGGTACATAGTCTGTGACAGAAAGATAGATTTTGAACACCCTGATTTTACAGTGTTTGATTTTGAAATAAAAGATAACTCACTAACATTAAAAAGTACTTAAAGATATGATTTAACCACAAAATCATAACTCTTTCTTAAGAAAACGAATAAGATACTTTCAAAGACTAGCGTGGCTATCAAAGGAGCCCTGTGATAAATTCAGGTTTTCTAAGGGTTTGTATAAAATATGAAAAGGAAAACATAACATGGCAGAAGCAAATTTTATTAATCAAAATGTTAGCAAATAGTATGAATGACTCAAAGGAAAAGAGAAGGCATGATTAGCAAAGGAACTAGTAATATCAGAAGAAGATATCATTTAAAAAGTAAACTCCCAAATGTAGAAATAAATTAAGGTTCCAAAAAGAGAAGATCCTCTTGTGCAAATGAAGTAATGGCTTTGTCAAGTTAAGTTACCCAAGTACGGAAAACATAAGGACACATAAGGGAAGCAAGGATACCAAGCCAGAAGGAGAACAGCCCAGAGATTATGAGTAAGAGCTCCACATCAGACAGATCTGGGTTTGTATCTCCGCTGTAAGAACAGTTATCGCTCCTAAATAGTCTGGACATTCAACACCTGACTGTGGGGTACAAATCACCTACCCAAGCTGTATGGACTGCTGCATGTTACTTCTCTTTGTTCAATCTACTCATTTGGAAATGAGAAGAATGAGAGTAACAACCACATAGAGTTGTTTTGAAAGGATGAATAAATTATTTAATTCAATGTGGTTTGGTTTTATCTTTTTTTTTTTTTTTGGACACTGTTTCAGAATGTGGAAAAAAAGAAGGAAAATAAATTATTTTTGTGAAGCAAGCATAAAATTAATAGTAAAAACAATAGCGATTATACAAAAGGAAAAATTATGGATAAATCCCTTTTGTGAATATGGATGTAAATCCTATTCAGAAATTAGACACAATAGCTGAAAAAATTGAAATTACTATCTCAGGTATAACTTATGAGAAAAACGCTAATTCTCCCCAACTTTTTCTACAAAATTAACATAATTGTAAAGACATCAAAAGAGATATTTTTAAACTTAGGAGACAATTTGAAAGTTCACTTGGAAGAAGAAGCAAGATATTCATAAGAAAAAAATCCACAAAGGAGAGCACTATGTAAGAGTGGCATGGAACACTGCAAATATATTCTTACATAGCTAGCAATAATACAGCAGCATATATATACAAATTAATAAACAATAAATTAATGGTACAAAAGAGGATGTCAAAAACAAACTCAAATGTGCATCTATCTTATTTTATGACAAAGAAAATATATCAAAACTTGGAGGGTGAATGTATTATTCAAAGAATTGTGTTGGAACAGATAGGAAAACTAAAAATGGATTCATATTACATTTTGTTCTGGGATAAATTCCATGCAGATAAAAAGTTTAAATGGATAGATAGATAATTAAACAATAAGAAGAATTTCAGATAAAATACTTTCATAATGTTAACATTGTGATAATGACACAAATCTCACAACCATCTGATAAATTGTGACCTAGAATAAATTGTGATAAATTATGAGCCTCTGATCAATTGCAAGCCCTGCCAACAAAACAAATCCTGGAGGTCAAAAACCAACAAAAGCAAACTTATGAAACAATAAAAATAGGTAAAAATATTTGCAAAACTATTTTCTACTATAAAACCCTTACAAATAAATAGTTAATAGATGAGAAGAGCAAAACATAGAAAGTTGCTAAAAGGACTAGTGAGCTTGAAGATATAAAATATATTCAATAGTTTCTTCATATAAGGGGAATGTTCAGCCACACTGAAACACCATTTTCTTGCCATTCAACTGATAAATATCAAAACTTGATAATATCATTAGCAATTATTTTACAACAGACACGTGTGTACATTTCTAGTGAGCAAGTCAGCATGCACCACCTTTCTGGGCGTATTTATTTATCAGGCAATAAATCCACCACAGAAAAAAATAGCCATGTTTTTGGCTAAGGATTTCCATTTCTAGAAATTTATTCTACATTTAAATTATAGTTTATTCACTGTCATATATTTCGAAATAATGAAAAAATTAGAAAATCCATTGATATGATTTAAATTTCCATTTATAATGAACAAGTTAAATAATAATTTACATTCATATGATGGATATTTTACTGTAATTACTAAGATAGGTAGCTGTAAAAAATGACAAAACTATTTACCTACTGACATGTAATGATTTCAGAGAAAAGTTGCTGAATGAAGAATAGCACAGAATAAGGAATACAGAATATCCATGAGTGTGGTCTAAACTTCCACAGATATGGAACCGGTTAAAAACATATGGTATGCCTGTACTGTGAAATATTACTGATGTATATGTAATGAACTCAAGAGATATGTTAATTGAAGTAAATGCATTTGTTTTTAAAACAGAAATATGATAAGATTACTGAAACATGTTTGTGTATTTATAAAATACCTTTTGAATAATATACAGAAAACAGGTGACATGTATTAATTCTTCCAAGCAGAACTGAGTGGCTGACTTTTTAAGTGAGATGTTTTACACCATGGTTTTTCTTTCTTTTGAACTTTGTACTTTTGTTTCTTTTGAACTTTAAACTAATGAACTGCTTACTGAAAAATTTAAAATTACTGGTTTTATTACTAAATAAATGTAATAAATAATTTGTTGACATTTAAAACAATTAAATGAGATACTATAGGCTAAGCACTTGGCATAATGTCTGGCATTCAGAAAATAATAAATATCAGCCATTGATGTTAATTTGCATTTAATATTAAGTATGAATTTGAGAATATAATTGAATTTCATTATAAGGGCTGCAGATAGAATAGATTCTGTGACATTGAATACAAACTGCCATGTGGGCTTAATGAAGCATGGCACACAGTAATGGAAAGATAATTAATTTTGGAACAAAACAGACCAGGTTTGTATTCCAGGGTGGACAGTTAATATATGCTTGACTTTGAGGAAGTTATTTACCTTCATCAGCCTTAGATAGTGGTTGTGTTTTGGGAGTTTGCTTTTTTTTTTAATCAATGTAAAATAGGGATAATAACATCTTATTATGCAGGGATATGACAACTATGTAACTTAAATATGCAACTTAAAAGTGCCCAGCATTTTCTGTGACATAAAAGGAATTTGATTCATGGTAACTACTTTTAAAATTCTAAAATATTAAAAGTATTTCCTTGATGTAGAAACTAGGATATAATATCAAACATAAGGGCAACTATCTTATGTTTTAAAATATGAAAATAAATGTATACAAAATATATTGGGGAAATTTTTGATATCCTCCAGATGTGAAAGTAGGTTAGTCTGAACCAAAAACAAACCAGTAAAGTATTATTATGTAACTGTTCCCCATTCTGGAGAATCCTGGAGTGCTATGCAGAAATGAAGCAAATGTGTATCAGCCACATGGAATGAGAAATATTCCAGGATATAGCTTATAACTTCCAATCACCTTTGGACATTTTTACCTTACTATATCTATGGTCAGAACTCCTTGGTCAAAAAAACATACAAAAGAACCCTCAGTACAAATACTCATTGATTAGATCTTTTTAAAAATTGGAGGATGTTCTTTTGAAGAAGTTTACTAGAGATCATTTTGTATTGGTCAAAAAAACTTGCGAATAGAAATTTAATTCCTAGTGCTATTTAAATTTTATCTCCTCTAAGTGAGTCAAAACCATTGATATTAAATAATAATGATAATGATAGAGTTTCCCCATACAGATCTTGAGTAAAGGTCTTGAAAGAGACTGGAGGAGATGCCGTCTGACCAAGGAGCAGATAGACAGCACACCAAAAGGTCTGAGCTTGGGTCTCTGACAGAACCTAATGGAGTTAGTTAGCATTGTCTACCCTCCCCAAATCTTAAACTATTCTTTCACTTATTTATAGGAGAAGCCAAGGTTTGGTGAAGGAGAGATAGGAGATCATCAAGATTTGTTTTCTAAGCATCAATCATGACCCTGCTGATTAGAACAGGATGCAGTCAAAAACCAGCCACAATTAGTTAAAACCACGAAGCTGATGAGAGAGACCTCTAGTTGGCCTCAATCCTCATTATATGCTAATTGTAATGCATTAGCATGCTAAAATACATTCCCACAAGCTCTGTGATGGTTTACAAACGCCATGGTAATGCCCAGTTTATCTTATATGATCTAAAAGGGGAGAAACCTTCAGTTCCAGAAACTCCTTCCCCTTTTCTAGAAAATTCATGAATAACCCAGCCCTTATTTAGCATGTAATTAAGGAGTAGCTATAAATACAGCTAGCCAGCAATCCACAATTGCTACTCTGCCTAGGGAGTAACACTTCTCTGTCTGTAGAGGAACCATTTCCCTGTGCTATGTTGCTCTAATAAACTTGCTTTGTTTTCACTTTACTCTGTTGTCTTGCTCTTGAATTCTTATCTGGGTGAAGCCAGGAACCCTCTGGGTTGAGCCCCAATTTTGGGATTCTCCTACATCAGGAGGAAGAGGGGTGAAGGGTGTCCAGGAGAACCTTCAACAAAACATCTGTTATAATCACATCAATTTGAAAAAAATGCCAGTAGTAGGTAAGTGTTCAGCCTTGGAAACTGCATAAGATAATACAGTAGCCCTTTTCAGAACAATTATACACCACAGACCCTCAGCCAGTTCCCATGCGTGCTGAGAGATTCACATCTCAAGCACTCAAAGATTTGGCTCTTCAGATTTGGGGTTCCCACCTAAAACCAGAGGCCTCCCTCAGCAGGCAGCAGGCACAGCCCAGTCCAGAAGTGAGGTGAATTTAAGGCTCTCTGGGGGAAACCTTCAACATGTGGGGTCTGGTTACCGAGAAGGGATGTGAAGGGTAAATGCCCCAGGTATCCATCTTTGAGGAGATAAATATGAGGTAAGTTATACATGGTTTCTTGAATGGATGGACACCAAAGATGACCAGCTCAATAACGCAGAATGGATTGGCTTTTCCTCCTTCCCTGTCTTATTTCCCTATCTTAACATTGGCTTCCTGGGACCCACTTCCTAAATATCTACCCATGTTCAGGTCTTTGTCTTGCATTCTGCTTTCTGGAGAGTCCAGATAAAGACTAGATCGATTTGTACTAACAAAAAATAAAAGCAATCAGTATCATTTCCTTATTTCCTTTCCTATTATTCTCAACTATAAAGCATAGTGTGTTTTTTAAGTACTTGGTTTTTAGTATTCAATTTGAGCAGATCACATAGAAAAATAAAATAAGGAGGCTTGATGTCAAGAGTCTATACTTGACTCTTCACATATGGACAGAAGTTGCCAAGTCTTAATATATGATCCTTGGAAATTTTTACTGAGGTAATAACTCCAAATAGAGGTTTTTATGTACCAAAGCTGCCACTGTACTATTTTTGGTGGATAAGCCTCTTTCACTCAATGAATGACCCCTATTCTTGTCCACAAGACAATATTTTATTGTTATTGTTCTGAGCTAGAAGTATAAAACCAATGATCCTTTTCAAACATATCCCTTCCTATCCTCATAACCTGGAGCCTAGAATGTACCAGGACAATCAAATATACAACATATTGAATAAAAAGTAAGTTTGTTCAGTGCTGTCTGAGGTAACACTAAATTTCATTGTCAATGTTACCTTTACAAGGATGAGATACAACCAGGCATATATTAAACAGAAAATGAGAAGAATATGAGCTTCTATGTCACATCATGTAAGAATTAAGAAATTGAGAATATTTATCCTACAAAAGGTAAGTCTCAAATGAACATAGCAGACTTTTCAAAAGAATTATACCTGTTCTGAATAGCATTAGAGAAAGAATCAGAACCAAACACCTGAGTTATAAGGAGAATAAATTTCTGAGAACCAAAGCGTTTTATAAGTGGAATAAATGGCCAGTGGAGCCATGGAGATCGTTAAAAATGTTCAAGCAGAAGCTGGGTGACTAGCAACTGGCGATAAAATTAGATTGGCATGAGATTGGAATACTGGTTTAAACAGATTTTAAATTCTCTTCCAACTTGTAGAGTCTATGATCTGAAACTATTTAGTTGATTAAATTATTAGTTAACTAAAACCAGTTAATTTGGAAGTTATCAGTTACACTACTGTACCTTTACAACACAAAGAACACCTTCGTTAGTTCCTTTGTCTGTGCTGATTTTGAAATGTTCGTTTTCATTTCCCTTTAAAATGGTGAAATTGGCTCTCCAATTGGCAGTATTAATTAAATCCTTATCTTCAACAGATATTCGTAAGATTTCCACGTTAAATACATTCTCCTCTACAAATGCCTCATACTGAAACAGAAAGAAGTCATTGATAATTAATATGTTACTTTATAGACAACTTTTACCAAGACAAAGTGATTCCAAAAATACTTACCATTATAATTTCACATAGATTATTTTAAAACTGTCAATCAAAAACATTATTGTTTCATTAAGGGTTATCCTTTAAATAAAAGAAGAGTTTCATTACGAATGAAGACTAGTTACTGGTCTTTAACAAAAGGGACATAATAGAAGCACTAATATGAATAAATAAAATAGATTCACTTATTTGTTTAAACTTTAATTTTATTCATAAAATATGCCTCAAAGTATGATATTTTATGAAATATTAATTTTATTAATTCAATTTAAATAAAAAATGACATTAGATAAGACAGGCATATTTTGATATTCCATACTTACAGATTTTTGTCTGAAAGTAGGTGCATTATCATTTGAATCTGTTACTGTTATGATACAAGTTGATGTGCCTATCAATCCAAAAAACTGGCCATCCATGTCTTGTGCTTTCATTATCAATGAGTACTTGTCTACAACCTGAAGACAAAGCAAATATTTAACTAGCCTTGAAAAATTGTTGTTAGATTTATGAATGAAACTTCAATTGCACACTCACTCACTCACTCACTCATATACACACAATCTGTGAGTGTCTGTGCTTTTACATGATTTCTATATTTGCACAGACTCTAGGAATTTGGTAGACAAGGATAAAGCTGAAAAGGTAGGGAGAGATGAAATTACCAAGACCCATCTCAAAAATTATACTTAAGCTCTAAGTAACAGGTAGTAGCAAAAAGGTTTTTAGAAGTCATAAAGGCAGCACAAAATAAGAATCTTGGAGTTTTAGAAAAAAATATTCTTAAAAAAGTTTTGGCTTAATTTGAAGTAAACTGAGGAATCAAAGCAATTCATTAAAAAAAAACCTGCAGCGATCATCTAAAACAGGTGGCCCAGGCCATTGCAGTGACTCACGCCTGTAGTCCCAGCACTTTGGGAGGCCAAGGTGGAAGGATCACTGGAGGCCAAGAGTTTGAGACTAGCAATATAGCAATACCTCATCTCTCTAAAAAAATAAAAATTTAGCTGGGCATGTTGATGTGTGTCTGTACTCCCAAGCTACTTGAGAGGATGAGGCAGGGAGACCCTAAAGTGGGAGTTCGAGGTAACAGTGAGCTATGATCATGCCACTGCCCTCCAGCCTGAGCCACAGAGCAAAATCTCTTCTCTAAAAAACAAATTAATAAATGGGGCAAGGTGTCCCAAATCTGAGGCAGTCGCAATCACGACAAAGAGAAAAGACAACAGGAAAGTTCCTTGGGAGTTAGAATGCAGTAGGACTTAATAATAAATTCTATATTAAAATTAGGAAGAAGGGGTTGAGAATGATGTACAGGTGTCTCACTTGGAGAGATAGGAAGATAGGGACATCACCAAACAATACAGGAATGTAGGAGAACAGTTCTTGGAGGAAGTAAATACTACTGAGGTTGACAAAGGAGTAGAAATACTGAGTATTGTTTTGCATATGTTGAATCTTATGTGCCTGAAGTAAATCTAAGGAGTAAAGTCCAAAAGGCACCTGGATATATGGCCTCATATATGTGGAAGAGATCATGCCCAGAAATGTCTGTCCAGAAGTCATCAGTATGTAGATGGGGGTTGAGATTACAGCAGGAAGCAGATTATTAAATTGAGGAGAGGCTGCAGGATGAGAAAAGCCTAGGATACAAGGAACTACAGCATTTCTAGCATGAGGGAATAAGAAGACTATGCAAAGCCCACTAAAAAGGAAAGATCGGAGAAGCAGGAGGAATACCAGAAATCTAAGGGGAAAGAGAGTTTTAAGAAGTGTCAGCAGTAGACAGGGACTTAAGGTTGCTGCTGGATTTGGCAATGAAATTTGGCAGTTGGTGTGATGATGGCGAATTGAAGTCATTAATTTGTTGTCCAATCGTCTTTGTGGCCTTTCTCTTTTATCTTACTATTCTTTCGTCACACTTTTCTTATTTTGGTTTTTTTTTTTTTTTTTTCATTGTTTGCTTCCCTCTATCTCTTCCCTCAGACTTTATTTTACTTGATCTCCCTTCAACACTGAAACCCAATACTCTGGCCAGGCGCCATGTGGCTCACGCCTGTAAATTCCAACACTTTGGGAGGCTGAGGCAGGCTTATTGCTTGAGCGCAGGAGTTGAGACCAGACTGGGCAGCGTGACAAAATCCTGTCTCTACAAACAATAAAAAAATCAGCCAGGCATGGCGGTGTGTCCTGTAATCTCAGCTACTCAGGAGGCTGAGGTGAGAAGATTGTTTGAGCCCAGGAGGTAGAGGATGGAGTGCACCATGATTGTGCCATCACACTTCAACCTGGGCAACAGAGCTAGACTCCATCCCAAACAAAAAGAAAGAAAGAAAGAGAAAGAAAAAAAAAAAATACAAAGAAAGTAACCAATATTCCCACCTTAAAATGCTCTTCCCATATGTTTTAAGAATCCCTGATATTCTGTTTTTCTTCCTCCAAATTCATTGCTTTTTATCTCCCACGATTTTTACTTCTTATGTTTTTCCCCTCAACACTCCATGGTTGTTGCCCACAAAATCCTGGTAGATTTTTTCTTCTTCAGGAAAGTAGCAGACCTGGGCTTGACCCTAAAACTGTATCTTACAAGTTGTGAGCCTCTAAATTTAATTTTTCCAAACCTCATTTTGAAAAATGTGATAACTAAAACCTGTTAACTTGCAGTTTTAATTATTCACTTGATTACCATATCATCTCTACAAACTCCACAGATATGAAACCACATTCAGATTGTCTCCTTAAAACTTTCCCACTTATGATTATCCTCATGTATTTTATCTATAACACAAAATGCCCTGGCCCCACAAAAAATAAAAATAGCGATAATTAAAACATTTGTACTACTTCTGAGTCTTTTTTTTTTAGATTCCCACCATCCCTCTTTGTTTCTTTGGCATCAAATCCCATTGATTGCTTATTTATAATGTATTTTCTATTCTTATATACTCTTCTGTATATGGTATTCTAGTTGTAGTGGGAAACACTGAACTAATCCAAAAAAGCTATTTTGTGCATATAAAATTGATTCATCTGTTTTAGTCAATAATGCATGATTCTGAGTTAAATGGAGGCTGACAAAATAAAACAATAAAAACTAAATATAAGAAGATTCAGTGCAATAATTTGACTTGAGCAAGTCAATCAATTATTCTGTCACATTTCTCCTTTACAGATTGAATATAACACCTATCTAGTCAAACAAAAATATTCTAAATGGCAAATACAGTTATGCATAAAGAAGGTCAATATAAAGTACCATATACATGACAATACGCTGTTACTATCATCCAAAAAGTGTTACATATTTTTAATAATCCATCAATTTTATTTCAATTAATATTTTACCCACTAAAAGTACATCTATAATAATTAAAATAGAAAGCAGGGCATGATCTGCACCCATAGAACAAGTGAAACTTATTTTCCTACACGGAAATTTAAACCTTTGCTGAACTGGAACCAAATAGGCACATGTAAGAAAAAAACATTTTATAACAATTTTTTCCTTTCCACATCCTTTCTAAATCCCAGTTGATCTGTATTTCTTATTCCTTATAGCTACTCTAAAATAAGGAAATGCAAATAATATTAAAAGCAGAAAAAAATTAGGAATTCTTATTGTGTTATGCCTAAAACAAAATTAAACTCTTAATCCACAGGATAGCAAGTTACAACAAATGGGAGAGGGAAGCTTAATCCTCAGAGAAATGATATTCTATGGAGTGTGTGAGATACCTCTCTGTCCAAATAATGAGAGACTATGGTGATTACACCTGTGCTGGGATGCACAGAAAAGAGCCCAGGAGATCTTGGTGTCTGCTCCAAAATGCTGTATTTCAGACGCGTGTGCATTGTGTCCGGCTCATCTCTGTCTGTGGCACTAACCACCCCCACTGTAGTACCTGCACATTAAAAAATAAAAGAGCCTTTAATTGCCAGCATTGCTAAATATATTAAAAAGTATATACATTCTTAAATTGTTAACAATGATGGTGAAAACCTAATTTAAAATGTATTTATTGCCAGCACTATTATTTCAGTGTTAGATAGGACTGGTGAAGATAACTTCAAATTTATCACACAAAACACTCTGATGCTGAAAATTAAGATATACTTTTGTTCTGCTCACAGTTTAAAATATTTGTTCATAAATTACTAAAGAAATTATTTAAATGGCAATCAAAAATAATTTGAATTCATATTTGCACGTATTTCAATAACAAACCTAGTTGGAGGAATAAACCATGTCTCCTTAATAATCACATTCTTATGGGTATGCAGTAATAATATAGATGATCAAGTTGACCTTTAGTAGTCCAGCCTCTCCTTTCTACGATCTTTTTGCTGCTTCCTGATTTGATCTGTTCTATTAAACTAGTTTAGTATCACAGCCTTAACTTGTCTGAACCTTCTGATAAAATGTGCTTAAAGCACCTTGGGTTAAGCTGGGCATTGAAGTGTTTGTCCTTTATCTTTCTCTGTTACTACAGAAGAGAAGAGAATCCTTAACAAAGCCTGAAACCAATTACCTCTTTTTGAAAAAGGAAAAGCATACCCCATTGCTAATTATTAAAGACAATGTAATGTCAGAATTGTGAAGCTAAAAGTATTACAGGTCATCTAATGGAACGAACTCCTTTTACAAGTAAGAAAACTCAAAGAGACTTCCATGAGTTTCCACAATGAATTAGTAACATGCCCCACATCAAAAACTATGTTTCCTATGCTATAGTGGCTATTTTATCATCTATGTGTGTTTCATAACATCATGTTGTAAACCTCCACTATACACAATACAATTTATTTTAAAAAAACCAAACTAGGTTTCTTATACTGCAAACCAATAATTTCTTAAATTTTTTAACTGTGTCATGTGAGTAATAAAGAGGTTAACATCTATGACATCAAATTAACAAAGGAAAACATAAAGGGAAAATGCAGATATAATATTGCAGTGAAGATCTAAGCAACTACTGGAAACTTGAATAAGCAAATTAGCAAAGTCATCCTTTATGACTGAGTCCTCCTTCTTTTAACTTTATCGTGAGTAGTTATTCTCCACATTGCAAATCTCAGAAGTTCTCAGAAGCCATCATGAGTGCTACATTTTAAGGGCCAGATAAACTAAAATACTCTGGTTTTCCACACGTAAGAGCAAGTGTTTAGAATGGAGAACATTTGTGGTAAGTTTCTCTGAAGTTATTCCAGTATTCATTCTAAATTGGAAGTAGCAATATAGTAGTTTTAAGAAAAGAGAATATAAATAGGAGCATAAAAAAATGGAACCCTCAGTGGAAGCCATTTAACACCTTCCTAAATAAAACCTCAAAAAAAAAAAAAAACTATACTGATTTCAGTTTTGTTGTTCATTCCACCCTGCATGTCCTCTCCTGGAGTTGAGGATAATGAAACACCCACATAATGAGAAAATGAAATAAAATATATAAACAAAATATTATACAAAGCTTGACTAACTGTTAGCTGCCTTCAGTTAATTTGTATTGTATTGGCAACAACAAAAACTTCTGTACTGTATGCATAAGGCACATATGATTGAAACTGATGGGATTAAGTGTTTTGTAGTAAGTAGACACTAGTTCAACGTTATCTCAGGCTGATCTGGCCTTGAGTATAAAAAGCTCAATGTCTTTTAAAATGTACACAGACATGTTGAAAATGATTCTTTTTATTATTCAAAACAGACTTACCAAGTCTACTACTTTCTGAAACTTCAAAATTATAAATTGCCTCTGTGAAAACAGGGTGGTTGTCATTTTCATCCTCTACTCTGATGGGCAGTGGGAGAGGCTGATCTGCTAAATATCCGTCTGCAGTTGACGCATAAGCAATCAACTGCAAAACAGCAAAAAGACAGTTCCGTTAATATCAGATTCTGGCAAGACAGAATAAGATGGTTTATTTACTACCTGCTTTGCAGATCTTTTCAATAATAAACAATTTTGACGTTTTTTTCTATTCACTGTGTTTTTAATTATCAAAGCACCAAATGTAGAAACCTTTACTGCAAAGAGCATCCAGTATGTGAAGGAAATCACTACTGCAAATAAAACCTAGGTCAGAGTACAGTGAAGTCAGGGCTGACTCTGTCCATTAGACTGAGGAATTAAATGTGAATATAAATTTTCTCTATAATCAGAAAATTATGTTGGGGAGAACAATTAAATTCACTGCAATGGAAAAAATTCCTACTACATCATCTAAATAAAGCAGCAATTCCCAATTTGTCACTACCAAGCCCTGTTATTATTTTATCTAGTAGACCACATATTTGTAAGAATTTTTCTGACAAAATGTACTAATATTCCCATTGTTGATTAAAGGTAATGCAATGTAAATTGAATATATTTCTATTCAGCATGTGATTACAATACTGAATTGAACATTTTCTAACCAAATGCAACGCATGTCACATGGGGGACAGCAGTCATGTTTGCTTACATGGCCTCTTTTCCCTCGTTTTCTAGGAACAGAAGCTCTCTTTCCAGTAATTATTCCATCAGAATCACAGGAATGACACATGGCCTCACAGCATTTACCATATTATACTAAAAATTATCTGAATTCTTTCCCATTGACTATATGCTCATCCATATCAGAATACTGGCTTATTAACCCTTATTTGAGTTTTGTCTCCCACTTTCACTTTCTTATGTAGTTCTCAGATGTGATCCAATAATCATCTGTGAGGAAGAAAGACAGAAATGGAAGTAACAGCAGTATAGAAAGAGGACTCTTCCAGTCAACTACAGACGTGTCTTGAAGTGAAGAAAAGGTACCAGTAACCAGTGAGAAAGGGAGTGAGATTATCTCATAAGCAAAACTAACTGTTTGGAAATTACTGACATTTACATTGAAATACATTGAAATTTACGTTCATATATTAAACCTCTTTGCTTCACTTCAGGCTTACCTAACAGCAGTTGAGACAAAGAGCTGACCAAGTATTCCAAAACATTTCACATTCTGTTTTCCATTGACTCTAAGATACCCTCTAAGGAGAGAGTGCAAGAAGACAGGAAAGAGTAGATGGAGTAAGCATCAGAAGGAACATAGTTTAATAATTTAAAGCCAGGCATATCAATAAAGCTCCTACATCAAAAACATCATATTCTTCACGATCCACACGCTGAGTGCAAAACAGATTTCCAGTGTCTCTTTCTATATAAAACAAATTTAAAGGTTCTTGATCAACTCCACGTCCGGTTATTGAGTAGAAGACAGTATAGTTCTGTGCTGCATCAGATTCAACCTAAAAGTGGAAAAAAGTATGAATAAAATTAAATTCAGTTAAAATATCATTTTTTAAATGCAGCTGATGTATCTTTTTATTTTAAAGAGATGATTTCAATAGAAAAGGTAGAAAATAACAATAATAGCTATTGTTGGCAAGGGTCAGGCAAACTGGGACTCTCATATGAAGAAGAGAATGCCAATTGGAATGTACCTTAGAAAGAAAACTGACAAAAAATTAAAAGAATAAGCCATGAAAATAAACAGGAAAGGATCTTTCTGGCAGAGGAAGTAGAAAGTGCAAGAGAACAGGCCGGGGTTTTGCCTAGAATATTCAAGAAGTAGCAAGAAGGCCACTGCGATTGGAGTAGAAAGAGCATAGAAGTGAAACCCCGTCTCTACTAAAAATACAAAAAATTAGCTGGGCATGGTGGCGCGTGCCTGTAATCCCAGCTACTCAGGAGGCTGAGGCAGGAGAATTGCCTGAACCCAGGAGGCAGAGGTTGCGCTGAGCCAAGATCGTGCCATTGCACTCCAGCCTGGGTAACAAAAGCGAAACTCCGTCTCAAAAAAAAGCACGGAAAAGAAGTAGGGGATGAGGAGGTAATGAGGTAGTAGGGCCACATCACACTGGAGAATTTGAGGATGCTGGCTTTTCCTTGGAGTTAAATGGAAAACCACTGGAGAATTTAGACGAAAGCAATATCATCTGATTTCTATCCTTAAAGGTAATACTTGCTGTTTTGTGAAGCACAACTAGATGTGTTTGGATGGGTAAAAGAAAAAGTAGGTAGACTACTGAGGAAGTTACTGCAAAAACCCAGAGAAGAGACTGTAGTTAGTTAGACTAACATGGTAGCCACCGAGGTGGTGAGAAGTGGTTAGTTTCTGGATATAATTTAAAGGTACAGCCATCAGAATTTGCTGATGGGTTGGAGGTGTGGTATAAAGATGAAAGTCAAGGATGCTATGTCAGAGGGTGCTAGTATCTCCTAATATCTATTCTGCCCATCTTCCTTAGTATTAGAATTTGTAGTGATCACAAGGTTGCCCAGAAGAAAGGCTTTGTCAGTCACTCTTGCAATTTGGTAGAGCCACATGAAAAGGTCAGGTCAAGGGAATATGAACAAAAATGATATGTGCAAATCCCAGCTGTGCTGTAGAAAGTGAGCAAGTATCTTCTCCCTGTTGGACACAGAGATGAGCCATCTGGAACTTGCAGGGACAGCCAAGCTAAAAATAGAAAGAAACCTGAGTCCCTGATATTTTCTCAGATTAGAACCTTTTTACCAGATCAAACTTTTACAAGAAAGGAATAAACCTCCATCTTGCTTAAGCCACTGTTATTTGGGATCTCAGTAAAATGCCACTCTGCCAATAATATATAATAAATTCAGAAATCAAAAGTTTAGCTATGAGAAGAATAGGCAGATAGGCTAAATTGAAGCTCAATATCTATTTTATTTTCCTTCTACAGTGTCCTCTCATAGTGTAGATTCTAGAAACATTCAAACAAAAAAACCCAAAACCCCCAAATTTTGCAGAACCTCTTAAAACCAGAGTTCTGGATTTAAACATGGATGATTACATGTGCTTGAACAAGACTGGAAAGCCAAAAGTGAGGTAGGCAGATGTCTTATTTTTGCTGTGTCTGCTACTTTCGCTGGCATCATAGTTTATCTTTCTTTCTTTCTTTCTTTTTTTCTAGTGGGCATGTGTCCCATTTTTGCTACTTCTGCTATTTTTGCTGACATCACAGTTCAGATTATTTGTTTTCCTTCCTTCCTTCCTTTTTTCCTTCTTTCTTTCCTTCCTTCCTTCCTTCCTTTGTTCCTTCCTTCTTTCCTTACTTCCTTCTTTGCTGAAACAGCATATGTACTACTACATATTTGACAATTTTGTAAGCATTACAAAATAAGATACAGATCAATCTTTTTACAGATGCTGGTTGGCACAGTTCAGAGACTGTTTTGAAGTTGCATGAGGAAAAACATGGCTCTGATGTTTTCCTGACTCTGTCAGTGGCACTTGGGTTCTAGAAATAATGTCTTCTCTATCATGGAGAAAGCAATATGTCCCTTGGTTGTAGAGTCTGTGGTGTAGCTAGCTTGGGGATTTGTTTCTGAAAGTGTAACCTAAAGTTTGTTTTTCAGCTCTCCATGCAATTCTGCAAACTCTTTAATAAATGGTAATAAATCCCTATCTGTTAAGTACTTAAAGGAAACTATGTTTTCTTCAGCTTAAACCTTATGAGACAGATTCCAATGCCCAGAGAGTTAGAAGGATTGAACTTTGCTAATTGAGATGGGAGGCTGCTTTTAGGAGAAATAACAAGCATTTTATTTCTAAGTTTAGTTTGAAACCCTATTAAACTTCTAAGTTTAATATCAATTAGATAGTTTGGGCTGGAAATACAAAGTTTTAAGTATTCAGTGTATAAATCATACTTAGAGTTGTGAGATCTGATGAGATCACTGAGAGAGTAAATATCAAGAAACAAGAGACAAGATTAATTGACTGAGCCCTGGAGCTCTCCAAAGTTTAGAGACCAGGACCGCAGGCTGGGGGGATGGATGAGGAAGCTCCAGCCAAACATACTAAGGAGTGATCAACCAGTAAGTGGAAAATTAGATGAATGGTGTCCTAGGAGCCAAATGAAGAAATATTTCAAAAAGGAGGGGAAGGTCATCTATGTCAAATGTAAATATGTCAAGGAAATGAGTACTAAGATGGTGACTGGTTTTGCAATGCAAGGGCTAAAACTAGCTATAATTGGTACAACTTTGGCAATTAGAAATCTTTTCTTAATAAGCCTCATCAGTGTTCAAGTTCCAATATTCACAGAAAACAAACAAATGTCTAGCACTAGGGTAGAATAAAAAATAAGTGTGAGAGACTGTGGAAGGATAGTTAGAAAGCAAAACAACTAGTACACAGGTTACACCATTAGTATTAAATAGCAAGCACACTATTTTAGAAATTTAAGGGGAAAAGGCAAGCAAAAGCCCATAGCCCTACTTCAGTAATGGTTTCAATTGTACATGTTCCATTTAGATCTTAATGAGAAAAGTAAACCTGATTATGTCAGTAATCTGCTTAAGAATTTCTCCTTGTTATTAAGATAAATTCACACTGACTAGCAGAATGCACATAGCCCATAGTGGTTTGACCCCTACCTCCCTCTTCAGCCTCATCTCCCTGCTCCATTCCATCACACCTTGAAAGACTAAGCCACCCAAAGCTCCTCTAAGGAGCTCTCACTTCTGCACTTCCCTCTTCTTCCACAGTAATTCACCTGCAGAAAAATTTTCCATTTTTCGAGACTCGACTCACTTGTCTCCTTCTCTAAGCCTTCTCTTGTTTTTTACCACCTTATCTCAGGGCTTAATGTTCATCTCATGTGTTAATAAATCACCCAACAACATCTCTATACTAGAATCGCAGCATTCATCACTAAGAATTATAACCATTATCCAACTTCTGTCTCCTTCACAAGGCCAATAAACCACACGAAAACAAGTGCCGTGCTAAATTTAGTTGTCTTTAGGACCTAGAGTGGTACTTCCCACAAGAACTGAGGAAGTTCTCAGTAACTTCCTGCTAAATGAATGAATAAACAAAGATCATTGAATGGCTTTAGAGCCTTTTTCATACTATTAGGTTTTTAGTGATTTTTCTTTCTCTTTTTACTTTTGTTACATACACCTCATGAACATCTTTAATCAGATCTGTCTAATTTTATGTTTAAAGAGGTATTAAATCTGAATGAAACAGACTCTTCGAATTGAAGCAATCCCCACCAGAAAAGAAGTAAACTTACTTGTTGAAGGAACAAAGGGAAAGGGCCCAAGGAATTCTCTTGCATAGAGCAGGGGATAGGTGCCCATCTCCTCTTGGCACGCCTGAGAACAGTTTCTCTAGTGTGTCTTTTCTTCAATACCTGAATTTAGAGAAAAGTAAATACATAAATAAACAAAGGCATTACAGTCTACTTCGTGTAAAACAGTGGACAGCCCATAAACCTAAGGGTTCTTTGGATGCTCAGTGTCAGACATTTCCATGCTGAAGCTAAACCAGTTAATAAAGTGTTTCTGCATTAGAAGGGTAAGAAAGAATATATCCAGATTTTAAAGATTTCAGGAAACAGAGAATTTCTTTTTGTATACCATTCTAACACTGACTATACTTTCATGTCAGGAAAATCATCACTATATTCTTAGTTCTTCTTGCTTTGTCCCACATAGAGAAGGAGAACACATTCCCTCTACAACCATTTCCGGATGGCACTTACCTGTTCTTTTAGTTAAAAGCTCATGCCCTCAGATCAATCAAAGGAAAAAAAATGCATGTTCTTCACTGTCACACTGTTCGATCTGCACTGTCCAATATGGCAGCCCCTGGCCACCGTAAGTCATGTATTTAAATTTAAATTAACTGGAATTTAATAACACAAGAAGCTCTATCCTTCAGTTGCACTAGCCACATGCCAAGTGCAGAGCAGCCATTAATATTGAGCTACGATATCAGACAGTGCAGATAGTGCACGTGTCTGTCATGAGAGAAAGTTGTATTGGACTTTTTAGTGATGTCCATCTCATTTCATGATGCAGCCAGGGAGATGTTTTATTTCATGAGAATTAATAAATAATTGCATTAAACATTTAGCAAAGTGCAAAGCTGTAACTTAAATTAGCTTTATTATTAATACAGTTAACCCAGATTAACTCTAATCCAGTCTCACCCTTTCATCACTTTGTGACTACTTTCATAGCCGCATTCCTTACTGTAAAGGTTTTGCATTAAAAAAATTATGAATGCTATAATAGAGGGATAACCAAACTGACATCAGTGCACAGAAGACATGATTAGAAATTATTTCTCCTCTCACTGAGGAGAAATAATTAAGTGTTAAGAAAGAGAGGGAGAGACAAAAAGAGCAAGAATAAGAGCAGAGGATAGAAGAAAGGGAGAGAGGGAAAGTAACAGAGGGAAAAAAGAGAAGGGGAAAAAGAAGGGGAGGGAAAGGAGAAAGAAAAGGGAAGGAATACAAAGGATGGTAGGCTGGGTGCGGTGGCTCCTGCCTGTAATCCCAGCACTTTGCGAGACCGAGGTGGGTGGATCACGAAGTCAAGAGTTTGAGACCAGCCTGACCAACGTGGTGAAACCCCGTCTCTACTAAAAATACAAAAATTAGCCGGGCGTGGCGGTGCGTGCCTGTAATCCCAGCTTCTCAGGAGGCTGACGCAGGAGAATGGTTTGAACCCTGTAGGCGAGAGGTTGCAGTGAGATGAGATAGCGCCACTGCTCTCCAGCCTGGGGGACAGAGCGACACAGCGAGACTCCGGTAAGAAAATGGAAGGGGAAGCTTTCAGAACCTGACAGGCCACTCCTCTCCCCTGCGCCTGAGAGTAAATTAGTTCAACCATTGTGGAAGACAGTGTGGTGATTCCTCAAGGCCTTAGAAATAGAAATTCCATTTGACCCAGCAATCCCATTACTGGGTATATATCCAAAAGACTATAAATCGTTCTACTATAAGGACACATGTACACGAATGTTCATTGCAGCACTGTTTACAATAGCAAAGACCTGGAATCAACCCAAATGCCCACTGATAATAGACTGGATTGGGAAAATGTGGCACATATACACCATGGAATATTATGCAGCAATCAGAAATGATAAGTTCATGTCGTTTGTAGGGACATGGATGAATCTGGAGAACATCATCCTCAGCAAACTGACACAAGAACAGAAATTGAAACACCGCATATTCTCACTCATAGGCGGGTGATGAACAATGAGAACACATGGACACAGAAAGGGGAGTACTAAACACTGGGGTCTATAGGGAAGAAAAGGGGAGGGCCAGTGGGAGGGGGAGGTGAGGAGGGATGGCCTGGGGAGAAATGCCAAACGTGGGTGAAGGGGAAAAGGAAAGCAAAGCACACTGCCATGTGTGTACCTACGCAACTGTCTTGCATGCTCTGCTCATGTACTCCAAAACCTAAAATCCAATAAAAAATTAAAAAAAAAAAAAAAAAGAAAATGGAAGGGGAAAGGTAAGAAAATGGAAGGGAAGGAAAAGGGTAAGAAAATAGAAGCGAAGTGAAAGGAAAGGAAACAAAATGAAAACAAAAGGGGAAAATGCCCTATTTATACTTTGTCTCGCTTTGCAATTTTTAATGAGAGTATTTTAATGAAAAAAATGCCTGAAAATATTTAACGTACTTTAAATACCGTCTTCTGATGTTCTAGCAGCACAGTAACCTCTTTCTGTGTCCGTTTCCTTCTGTCAGAAAGCAGTATGGTGAATGATCTTTTCTCATCAGACAACACAACAGCCCTGGCTGTGTACACTGACCCATCATTTAGAACCCTGAAATCAGGATCACTTGACTGGATGTGGTCTGCGGAGCTTAAGCACTCTTCCAAATTAACTGCAAGTAAAAATTTCCAAGTTGTAGGGTAGAAACACATAGAAGAAAAAATGTGTTAAAATAATTTATATAATCTTCTTACAGACCATGAAGTGGAATGAAATAAGCCAATCACTTTGCATAACAGATACCTCAACCTGTTTTTTTTACATTACTTAAAGAAAGATCATTTTCTTTCCTTTAAAAAATAATTATTGAGTGTATATTTCTATTGAATAAGGTGTTTTAAACCTTTATATCCTTCTAATAGATTTATGAAAACGACCTTCCAATTAAAGATGTGGGATGTTATAACCATGACAAAACTGAGCTACAAGCCTAGCCCCCCAACACACCTGAATAAACACATAGAATAATTTCCTTAATAATACAGTCTGAGTGTTTAAGATACACCTATGTTCAGTGAGAAGTCATGAGCCCAAGAGTGATGGAGTGTATGAGTTTGGAAAAGAGTCACGAAAGAAAACTCTGATCTTTGAATTGTTCTTCTCACTGGCACTCTTCTGTACACATTTCCCCTGCAGGCCCACAATATTCTGTGTGTTCCAAGCTTTCCAGGGTCCCACACTGAAAGTCTACATGGAGTCTGTCTTCCCTGGGATTTCTGGCCTCCAGTAACAGGTAATAAAATACATATAAATATCAAAATGTACCTGTCATCCATCCCATTCTTCAACTATTTGTCTTAACAGAAAGTAAACTAATAAATTACTACTCAATTAAGTAACAACTTCTCAAAGGATTCATGTGTTGTCCATGTGTTGTGTTTTCACTTTAATTTAAATTTGTCACAGGTGGAAATATTTAGCAAAAAAAAAATGAAAATAAACATCTTTAGATCTGATGACATATTTATCTCATCTTCACATTTTTATCATAATGATAACTTCTGGTCTACTCCCTGGAGGAACATCCCTTATTAGTAGATTTGGGCTAACTCCAAAAGGCAAAGATATTATATAATTCTCTTCCCAGCCTATGTAAACTAAATTTCTGTTTTAAAAGACTTTTAAAATTTCTCACCTCTGCCAATTATTTTGTCTGCCTCTAGTTTAGAAGGTACATTAAGTATCACCTCTTTACAGGCTTCAGCGGCAAGACTGAAGATCTGGAATTTAAAAGGTCACATTAATATAGTAGAAAATAAAGGTTTAAAAAACTGTGTTCATCTCCATAGATGTAAAACAAGCAACTGACAAAATCCAACACCCATTTATAATAAACCCTCAGCAAACCAGGAATAGAAAGAAATTTGCTCAATGATAAAGCTCATTTATGAAAAACAACTAACTTCATATTTAAAGGGGAAAGACAATTATATCATCTAACATCAGGAACAAGACAATGATGTCTGCTCTAACTGCTTCTTCTTTTTTTTGAGACTGAGTCTTGCTATATTGCCCCAGTTGGAGTGCAATGCTGTGATCTTGACTCACTGCACCATCCACAGCCCAACTTCAAGCAATTCTGGAGTCTCATCCTCCCAAGTAGCTGGGATTACAGGTGCCCACCACCATGCTCAGCTAATTTTTCTATTTTTGGTAGAGACGGGGTTTTACCATGCTTCTATTTAACATTATACTGGAACTTCTAGCTAGAAAAATTACACAAGATAATAAAATCAAAGGCATCCAAATTGGGGGAAAAAAAGTAAATTTTTTTCTATTCACAGATGACATAAATTTGTAGATAGAAAATTCCAGGAATCCACTAAAAAACTCAGAATGAATAAATGAGTTCAACAAGGCTACAGGATACAAGATGAACATGTGACTGCATTCCTATACACTAGCAATGAAAAATCTGAAAACTAAGCGAACAAAAATGATTTGTAGAGTATCAAGAAGAATAAAATACTTAGGAATAAATGTCATCAAAGAAGTATAATAGTAATCACTGAAAACCATAAAACATTGCTGAAGGAAATTTTTAAAGACATAGATAAATGAAGTGATGACCCATCTTCATGGATCAGAGTACATATTCCCAAAATTCATCTACAGATTTAATACAATCTCTATAAAAATCTCAGATAACTTTTTCGAAGAAATTGAAAATTAATATTTCTAGAAATACAAGGTGCCCAAATAAAATTCAAAAAGGAAATAAATTGGAAGACATATTTACCAGTTTCAAAACTTACAACAAAGCTACAGTAATCAAAACAGGGTGGTAGTGGCAATAGGATAAATATTAGATGAATGGAATATAACTTAAATCCCAGAAATCAGGCCTTACATTTATGGGTACAGAAATTCAAGAGAAATAAATAGTCATCTCAACAAATGGTGTTGGGATGATTTGATATCTTCATGAAAAAAGGTAAATTTCAACTCCTACCTCACAACATACACAAAAAATTAACTCAAAATGAACCACAGACACAAATGTTTTAACTAAATTATTTAGAGGAAAACTTGAGAACAAATCTATATGATATTGGATTAGGCAGTGATTTCTTATATATAACACCAAAAATGCAGTGATAAAGAAAAATTGTTAAATAAGACATAATCAAAATAAAAACTTCTGCTCTCCAGAAAATACCACTTAATTTATGAAAGTGAAAACACAACTCATAAAATAGAAGAAAATAGTTTCAAACTAATAAAGGACTTGTATCAAAAATAAATGCAGAATTTCTGAAGCTCAATAGGCAAAAAGTGAAAACAATCTACATGTCCATCAATTGGTGACTAGATCAACAAAATGTCGTATATCCATACAATGAAATGTTATTCAGCTCTAAAACGTACTTTCTTAAGTACTATGCATGCTACAACATGGATAAACCTACTAAACATACTCAGTGAAAGAACTAAATAGAAAACAACACATACTATGTGATTTCATTTACATAAAACATCCAAAATAAGTAAATATATAGGAACAAAGTAAATTTCCATGGGAAGTGGTTGTAAATGGGAATGAGGCTTATTTTTAAGGTAATGAAAAAGTTCTAAAATTAGATTGTAGTGATGATTGCACATTCTTCAAATTTACTAAAATTCATGGAAATGTACACTTAAGAGTGAATTTTAAGAGATGTAAATTATATCTCAATAATGCAGTTTAAAAACAAAAAGGACACACTGTCATTGATAGAAAAATGACTCCATAGTCACTTCTACAAATTGGCAGTGAAAGGCCTTGTCAAATTTATAAATTTACAGAAGTAATTTCAGCACAATAAAATGGCATAGTAACCACAAAGAAGTATTTCATTTCTGATATAAACAAATATAAAACAGATTCCTGCACAAAGTTAAAAGATTTTCACTTATGGTAACATAAATATAAATATGTGTATATACAAATATATACATTATCAAAATTCATCTAATCTGTGATCTAAAATTATTGTACTTCTCAAAGATTCACCTTACCTTCGCTTGTTAGAATAAATGAAAATATCTCAAAAATATGGACAAATACAGCCAACATGTAACAGGGTTGTTTAATTTAGATACAGTAAGCCAAGAAGTCATTTTCAGAAAATTATAAGCAGATTGTAAACAGGGGCAATGAAGTAATAAGTTGTCTGCCCTTTTAAAAAACCATATCATACATATGCTCAAGTTAATATTTTCCTTAAACATATAGTTGTAACCTTGGAATGAAAAATGCTTTCCTTCAGCAAACCACTCATTGGTAGAAATATATTGTAACTCTGTGGTCAGTATTTTAAATCCCTAATAAAAGCCATGCCCATATATTTAGTCACATCTCTTTTCAAAATATTCAAGTTAACTATGAAATATTTAAATTAATTCAAACATAATAAATGCTCAGTGCCCATCTAGGTCTTTTAAAAAAGAGCATTTTGCTATTTTTGCTCCATTTTTAAATTAAAATTTACAGATGTGACTAAAGTCTTATGCTCTATTGTATTTCCAACTCTTCTCCAGGGAACAGTTTCTTCTGAAGTTAGAATTTATACTTCCTCAATAGGATTTTACACTTTTATTATATAGTGTATGCTTGTGCTTATAAAATATAAGCTGGTATTGGGTAGTATGTGTTTTTATGCAACCTTTTGCAATTTGCTTTTTTCACTCATCAGTATGTTTGAGAGTTTTCCAGAAATATACCACAGTTTATTTTTAGTCATTCTCCTCTTGATGGTTATTTATACTGTTTTTCATTTCTTCTATTACAAATGATACTCTGTGAGTAGCTCTGCCTGGAATGGAAATTACTGTGCCATATACGAACACCTTCAATTTCATTAGCTATTGTCAAGTTGCTCTCCAAAGTACTAATATCAATTTCTATTAATGCCCCCAGAATATTAAATCTCTCTATTTCCCATATCCTCCCTTACAAATAATTTTATGACTTTTTCTATTTTGCCAACCTAATGGCTGTTTGAATTTGCATTTTATTAATTTTTAGTGCAATTGACCGAATTTTCTTGTGTCTATTTGCCATTTATCTTCTGTAAGTTGTCTATTCTTCTTTAATCACCAATCTATTGTTTGTACCTTTAAATTTTCTTTTCTTGTAGGTTTATGTAGTTCGCTTTTTAACTTTCATTATGAAATCTTTTAATAAACAGAGTGCTTCAATTTTATTTTTTTCATTTGACACATTTTTATTACAAATTTAATATATACCAGATACTCAAAAACTTCAAATTGCTTTTGTTCTTTTAAAGTAGTTACATTTATTCATAATTCTATTTGGCTTCTGAGTCAGTTTTGTTAATCATTTCTGCTGGCTGTGCTTCTGTGTATTATTTAAGAACTCCTACCCTATCCTATCTTAAACATCGATATTTTCCTCTAAAAACTATAAAGTTACCTCTAACTTTTCAGTCTTTTACCCATCTGGAATGTATTTGTGCATGATTCACGTTAGTCATATAATCTTACCTTTTGCCATTTGAACAGCCATTTGACCCAGAATCAACTTTTTTTTTTTTTTTTTTTTTTTTTTTTTTTTTTTTTTGAGATAGAGTCTTGCTCTGTCGCCCAGGCAGGAGTGTAATGGCACAATCTTGGCTCATTGCAACCTCTGCCTCCTGGGTTCAAGCAATTCTCCTGCCTCAGCCTCCTGAGTAGCTGGGATTACAGGCATGTGCCACCACACCCAGATAATTTTTGTGTTTTCAGTAGAGCCGAAGTTTCACCATGTTGGACAGGCTGGTCTAAAACTCCTGATTTCAGGTGATCTGCTTGCCTCTGCCTCCCAAAGTGCTGAGATTACAGGCATGAGCCACCAAGCCCTGCCAGAATCACCTTTCTTAACTCTTAGCTCTTCCTTTCTTAGCTCTTCCTTTCCTTCTTAACTGGCACCTTTCTTAGCTCTTCCTTTCTTTCTTAACTGATGCCTTCTTTAGCTATTTCTTTCTTAACTGACAATGCCACACCCCAAAATACACATGGTGCTGCAAATACAGAATCTATTTCTGAGCTTCCTGCACTATTTCATCAGAATATGAGTGTATCTCTACATGAATACTATATACTTTTGGTTAATACAGCTTTAAGATAAATATTGGTATTTATTAGAGTGACTCCAATCCCTATCATCTTTTTTTTAAGTAGTATATCTTTGCTCTTTTTAGACTTTGACTCTCAAAACAATTGTTTGATCAGGTGACCAAGTTCTGTAAAAATTTATCTTAGGATTTGATGAAATTCCATTTCCTTTAAATATTAATTTAAAGAGGATTTGGCATTTAGGGCTCTTGAGTCCATCCATGAACATGATTCATTCTCAATTACTTATGAGTTAGATTTGCTTTTCAATACAGCTTTGTAATTTTTGCTAGAAAAGTCTTTCACACTTTTTGTTACATTTATCTTAGATGCATTGATTTGTTGCTGTCGTGAATGGGATTATTCTTAACATATTTTTGAGTTGTCTCTTGATAATATATAGAAATCATTTAAAAATATTAAGCTTATATCCATGAAACTTGCTTACTTTTATTAGTTCTAGTGTCTGTCAATACATAGTGTTGGATTTTCTATGTAGCAAGTCCTGTAGCTGGCAAAATGACAATTAGGTTTCTTTTCTTTTAATCCTGCAAGTCTTTCATTATTGCTAATTTTTGTCTGATGTGCCCGTTAGGACCTCTTGTGAAATGCTGAATAGAAACAGCAATATTGACCATTGTGGATTTGTTTCTAACTTAAAGGGAATGTTTTTACCATTTTGCCATTAATTATGAGTCTTTTTCTTTTTTCCTTATAACGTTCATTCATTCATTCATTTTTGTTAGATATGTTTCATTACATTAATAAAGTTAATTCTCTATATTCTATATCCTTAGTGTGCTATGAATTTTTTTAAAACAAAATTTTTCCACTTATTTTGAAATCATTAGTTTTTCTTTGTTAATACATTACTACGTTAAAATACAATAATAGATGTCCTAATGTGAAACCATGTTTCCTTTCCTGAGATAACCCTTACATGAACATGATATATTTATATCTTATATTTATGTCTTAGAAATGTATTGCTTGATTTTCCATTTATCTCAATATTTCACATATATGTCTGTAAGTGAGATCATGCTACTATTTTTCAACTTCCTACAATCCTCATAAAATGAGTTAAGAAGATTTCCATATTTTTCTGTTCTTAGAAACAACTTATATAAAGCAGAGACTATTCCACATAATTTCGAAAGAATTAACTTGCCATAAACCTGGGTCTGGTGGATCTAAAGAAGTGTGTGTGGAGCTATCTGGTTTCTAATTCGATTTCTTTAATGGTTAGAAGTCTATTTAGATTTTGTATACCTCCTCAAATCAATGTTGGTTTTGTGTATTTTGTAAGAAGTTGTCTGTTTTGATTGTATTTTCTAATTAATTGGAATTATGTATTAATACTATCTTACTTTTTAACATCTGTTCTCTCCAAAACTGTACTTCCTTTCATCGCTGATAGTGTTTTATCTATGCCTTTTCTCTTTTATACTTGCTCAATTACAGCCAGGTTTGTCCCTACTCAAGAGATTTGGTTTAGTGGATACCCTCCATTCTTTATTTCTTTCCTTTTTAAAAATATGTTCTTCATAAAATATATTATAAATACCGAAGATTACATATAGCATATGTGTATGCTTTAATAAATAATAAAATGAACACCAGAGTACTCACGTTCAAGGTTAAGAAATGAAGCATTACTAATATTTTCAATGTTCCTAACTACAGTTCATTCATTTTCATTGCTGCATAGGATATTATTAGAAAGAATGTACAGTTAATTCATTATACAATTTTTGAAGGGGATAATATTCAATATAGATTTCAGTTATTTTATGTATCTTGAAACTATGAAATCATTTGATACTATATTCTTGTGAGATTTGGATGCAGTATTAAAAATAAAATAAAGTAAACAAATGTAAAGACACTAGTGTATTAATGATGATGATGAAATAATGACCTTTAAAGATATTTTGTAATGAAAATAACTTCTGTATACAAGACTGCCCATATTTCAAATTAAAATATAATTAAGTTTAAAAATGATAATATAAAGTATTACCTACTGCAGCCTAAGCAAAATAAACTGCTTCGTGGCATTTTATAGTACTAAGCAAATTGTATTAATTGCATGATAGAAAGCTTATTAGACAAATGATTCAATCCTGATTGAAAAATCTAATGCCAAAGAGAGAGCTAAGATTAAAGGTTTTATCTGCAGTTATTTCACTTTTATGCTATTATTTAGTTTTATAGTGAGCACACAAAGTAAGCTTTCTAAAATGGCACCTTACTTCAATACAGAAAGAAGAAACAGAATGAAAATTTATGGAATGTCTTAAATGTGAAGGAAATCTTCTAGATTGAGCACAATCATTATAGAATTTTAAACTCTTCATCTCTCCTGTAGCCATAAGTCTTCTGTAAATGGAAATATTATCTTTCAAATTCTCACCACTTCAAAGGTAAATTGCAAGATTTACTGCTCTGTGTTCTCAGTACTTAGATGTAGATGAGTCTAATAAATTTGTTTCTACCCAAACTCATCATAAGATGGAAATTCTGGCTCTCATACTTTCAATGGAAAGTATGACTAACTAACAGGCCACCACAGATACCATATATGGAATCGGACTGCCATGGGAATTACAACAGGACCAAAAAATGTATATGAGCTTACATTTATTTATTCAGTACGTGCTTCAGTATCTAGCTGTGTCTTAACAGGAACATAAATAATCTCCTTTTAATACGGTGACTGATAATGCATAAACCTAAATGTATTTATACTAAAACTTCGACTTCTTTAAGCTTGCAGTTTTAAAATAAACTAATTTTTATCTACTTCCTTTATTTGCCTTAATCTTCTTTTCAAGAATGTAAAAGTCTTTAGAAATTACTATACTCCCTTTTATTTTAAAATGAATACGTCAAATATTATCAAGAGCAAAAAAAAAAAAAAAAACCACACAAGTCTTTCTGGTAAGGACTCACATTATTCACATTACCCCTATAAAATATGAAAATATAGGATGCCTATTTATCAACATAGGTTGCAGGCAGAGTTCATATACTCCAAGGAGGAAAGTACAGATTAGAGGGGAGTTATTTCAAATGTTTCAGCTATTTTAGTTCCTTTAAAAGAGGAGCCCTTTTAACAAAATGACTGATTAGCTGTGTCCAAGTACGTGCCATTTGTAATGTATAATAGGTAACATAATTCTTAAAGTGGCTTTGATAAAAAGAACAGTATTAACATGTATTTTTTAAAAGAATCTTATTATTTGCAATAGGCAGAAGACAACTGATCTCATGTAAATTAGTGCTCAGCATCCCTAACAATTCTGGTTACATTAAGAGGAAAAAACACTTTCTGAGGCATTCAAAAGCTTACGATAGTGAGATTCCCTGATTTACCTCTTTTTTAGTATCCCGCTCTTATTTTTTTCTTTGTACGTGTGATTATTAGAAGCTGTATTTACACTTCAGAGTGTGGTGGGGCACAGTGTGGGAAGGAGATAAGGAAAACTGAAGAATGGGAAGATCCCTCAACCTGTTGGGCTGTTACTGGGAAGACTAAAACTTAACAAGTCTCAGATTCTTGTTAAAAGACTTGCTTTGAAAAGCTCTCCCCTTAGAACAAGTAATGTTTTAAAGATATTCATAAAGTCTATATAAAATGAAAAGTGTTTCTAAACTGCTATGTTATTAATATTATACTGAAAATTAAAGAGTGGTATGAGTCAAAAGGAAGGAAATACAGGCATGAGATGGGCAAGAGAATGTTAATTTATCCATCTGGTCCGAAATAGCAAGTGGTTTGTAAACTGACAACTCCAGATGAAAGAAATTATCATTCGATGTACACTTTCCTTTTACTTAAGTCTCCAGATAGAGCATTTAATCTGAACTCAATGGAATCATTTTTAAAAATAATCTTAAGCAAGTATGTCCTAGATCAGAGCTGTAGCTTCCTCCATTTAGATTTGCGCTCACCTTCTTCCCTGCCACAGCCCGACACCCAACCCAGGCCACGCCGGGACAACTCCTGGTCTCCGTGTCCTCCAGGAGCCTCCAGCGAATGCGAGAAATTCTCAGAGCAGCACCCACAGTTTCGTTCCCCTATCCCCAATCCCTTGGTAAAGGAAACACAAAACCCCAAATGCATGCTAGTAAATTCACCAAAAGCTGAAAACGCTTTTAAATATATTACAAAAGAACACATTTTGCAAGCACTTCCCATTTGTAGTCATTTCATAAGCTCAGATACTTTGTTGGAACAGTTCCTGGGAAAATTAATGCGCTTATTTGCCCAATTCCTTCTCTATAAACATAATGTACATCATAACTACCAATCTCATATTCATACCTCTCTGATTTAAAGGGAGGACAACTTTTGGACCCATTCACCAGGGTGGAAGACCAGGAAGCAGTAAGAATCCGCGAGGCCAGTTTTGACTCACTGCCGACGCGGTTATTAGACCTCGCTCCCATCGGACCCCATGCTCATCCACAGGTGCTGGGAAGTCGCGGGTCCGAGGCTCCTTTCTGGGCGTGTGGAATGAATCTCTGCTGGAAGTCTGAAGCTTCGCGAGTAACCGCTTCGCCAGAGTTCCGAAAACCTCAAGTCTCCCGCGTTCTCAGAGCATTATTCCTCTCCAGGAAGATTTCGTCCTGGTTGGCAGGTTTTCGGAGACTCGAAACCCCAGGCTGTCTTGGTCGTGCATTCCTCCCCGGAGCCAGAATAAGTAAGACCCAACCCCGTTGTATCCCTCGTCTCCGCCCCACCCCAACCCGCCACTGTCACCCTCTATCCTCCTCCCCACCTTGGCCGCATCCCCCAAGCACACCACGACCCCAACCACCATTCTTGCCCGACCTTCCCACACCTTCGCGCCCGGTGCACGTCCCGCCCCCACTGGGTGGCTGGCGGGGTGGATCACTTGGGTGAGTTCCTGACCACCCCTTGGAGGAGATACCGAGAAACCCGCTTCTCAGAGGCAGCCCCCACCAAGGAACCGAGGGACACGGCCCCGCTCCACTCACTAACGAACCCATCCGCGCCAACTGGGACCCGGAGCGGGGGAGGAGGCAGCCCCTAAATCCCATTTCAAGTTTGTGCTTTGCGCTCTCAGGGATCCTAAAAAACTGACCAACAAGCACTTTTCCTCCCTCTCCACCTAAAGGCGCCCTAAAACCACCATAACCACCAGCTCTACCACTTGGGGAGGGGCGCGAATCCCAGCCCCCTGCCTAACACGCCAGAGCGCAGCGAAGCCTGAGCGCGACTCAGAATTCCACCGGTCGAACGCGGTGTCTCAAAACAGAAAGCTGAGTCCAGAGTCGACCCGCAAGCACACATTTTCTCTCCTCACCCCTGCAGGCCCGAACTTGGGGCTGGTACCAGCCTTGCTCATTGATCGGAGCCGCAGTTATCACATTTCGGCTTACTTTGTACCCCGCCCCGCGCAGCGTCCAGGGCGGATCCACCCTCGTTCCCATCCCGGCCCTATCCAGTGGGGTCAAGCTCACCACGAGGGTCAGCAGCAGCTGCCTGCAGACCGCTCCACGCAGGGAGCGCCGGGGCCCAGCGGCGGCCATCGGGACGCGGGGCAGGACCAGGAGAACGCGGTGACCAGGAGGGTGCCTAGAGCCAGAGCTGCGACGGTGCGGGGCGCCGGAGGTGCTTTTCTCGCCGCTGCTTGTCTTTAAGTGGCTTTGGCCTCTCTCAGGCTTGCCTGCCCGGGAGCATTTCACTCCTGAAACCGGATTGGACCCAGAGGACGCGGAGAGGCCACTCCTTGTTATTTCTCAAGTTTTATCATCGCCGGCGCCGCAGAGGAGCTGCCTGAGCCTGCCCCTCTGCTCCCCAGCAGCCGCCGGGGCGTTCGCGCTCAGGAAAGCGGTCCCAGGCGCACCCTTTGCCAGCTCTCCCACGCCCCTCGTCTGCCCCGGGGCGCTGCCGCCCCGCCCGGCCCGCAGAGAGGCCCTGGCAGCCCAGAACGTCCCAGGGCCTTCCCAACGCCGGAGCTGCGCGGTGCATCTCAATGCAGAACCCAAAGCCGCCCGCAGGGATCCCTGCCTCAACACGGGCCCTTCTGGATACCAGGAACACCCTTGTCATTGGATCAGCGGATCTGCCCTTCGACGTCTGAACAAATTCTGCCAATGTTTTCAGATTCAAACAAAATACATGTACTGTATTCTCTCCGGAGTTGACTAACGACAAAGTACAAGACAGAAGGAATTTATCCCAAATGGCATGAATGAATGGGTAACTGGCATGTCAGAAATTAAAATTAAATATAAGAAATTCTGTTGTGACCATTTTTGCGCACCCAAAATACGAATGATTACACTCACGGTTCTTTTTTTTTTTTTTTTTTTTTTTTTAGGCGGAATCTCACTCTGCAGCCCAGGCTGGAGTGCAATGGCGCGATCTCAGCTCACAGCATGTGCCATCCGCTCGGCTAATTTTTTGTGTGCTTAGTAGAAACGGGGTTTCTCCCTGCTAGTCAGGCTGGTCTCGAATTTCCTACCTCAGGTGATTTGCCTGCCTCGGCCTCCCAAAGTGCTGGCATTACAGCCATGAGTCACCGCCCCCAGCCTCAAAGCTCTATTAATTGACAGTTTGGGGGACTTATATGAGCCTTCTAAAAACGATTTTGTTCTTAGATGTAAATTATTGGTTTACTACTTACTGGTACCAAAATGAATTTTTTCAGGTGATCACAGGAATATCTACCACACAAAACCTTCTAAAACGAGGCTTACAGATTCTAAATTATGCAACTACTATTTATCAGGCCCCAAAGTCTACCAAGCTTTATGTGAGGGGATGTAAGAAAGGAAATGCATAAAATCCAGTTGTTCTCAGAAACAATTCAAAGTCAGGAGGGGACGAAAGGCAATCATTCCTAGCCCACTAGGCTAAACTTTTTAATAGAGATGTAGTTTATAACACCAGGGACACATTCTCTTATTTCTCTAGAAACTGAATTTTATGTTCCCTAAGACCCCACCTACTGGATTCAGGAGGAAACGCCTCTCAGACATGTGTTGCTACTCCTTGAAGTCCATTCAAAAGTTTCAAGGTCAGGACTTTCAGACAGTCAATTAATCATGAAAGGGTGTTATGACTTTCATTTGTCTCACTCTGGCTCACGTCTAATAAACTCCTTGTCATATAAGACCTGTGTTTCCTGAAGTCTGGGGCTTCCCTGAAATTCATGAGGCTCAGCTTCAAGGGCTCAGACATTCTAAGTTGAGCTTCCTAGTGCAAATCTCCCAGGCACCCATCAGGGGAGGTCTCTGTTTCGAGGAGCACTTCTAGTCTCAGAGGAAGTTCTCCAAATTTTTCTCCACTTCGGCGTTTTCACCTCCCTTCCTCCAAACCATTGTCTCCACCATGACCTCAGAGAAGACTTCTCAAAGTCTCTTCCAGCCCCAGCCAGCCTTCAGAAACCCAAGTAGAATGGCTGTCTTGAAACTTACGTGAGTGAAGGAGATTCCTTCCCACTTTGCATTCACTGTTAGAGTGAAGGGTTGAGGTGTTAAGGCATTTTAAAGGAGAGGATCTAACTCAGATGAAGAAGCTTTGAAGAAGCAAGTATAAAAGAATGCTCTGGGACCAAAGAAGCTCTGGGGAGACTTGTGAGAGTGCCAAGCAGAAAGGGGGTGTTTCAGAATGGTTGGATGGAAGAACTTCTGGTTGGGAATTAGGTTAGAAAGATGGCTCATGACAAACCATGCTGAGGAATTGAATTTCATCCTGACAGAAATGGAGAACCAGCCCTTAAATGTGTGAAAAGGGTTAACAATGTGTGAACGACTGTTACAGAATTGTCACTTTTGGTGAGTTCATGTGAAACCATTTGTGCTGTAATATGGCTTTCTTTAATACCTAGGGAATAAAAGACTTTCAAGCGTTTTTCTTTATTCTAACTATTCTTAGTTTTTCTATGATTTCAAATTTACTTTCAGATTTACAAGAGTCTGGCCTGATTATGACTGTCCTCTGAAAGACTCAAACTCTAAAATTGCTATCCTCTGGTTGTTTTGACTGTGCTGTGTAATAGAGGATATTGCTACGCTTACTGACTATGTGACAATTGCTGTGAGCTTCCATTTTTAGCTTCTACAAAATAAAAGTTGTAAGAATCTACTTTAGAAATACTGTAAGAAAACATATTATGGATATTTTTAACTTGTATTGCAAATTCTAGGTGCAATATGAACAGTAATAACTGAATGTAGGATTAGTAATGATTTTGGAATTTCCTGTTTTGTTATAAAAGGTACTTGTCCATCATGAGTATATTAATCTAAGTCCTAATAAAAACCAATGCATTTTTATAATTAAATGAAGAATCTTTACCAATCACAACATAAATATGACTTGAGGATAAATTAAATTGCTTATATTTTTCCCACATAAATTATGATATAAAGTGGTTTGTTGAGGCTTTTTAAAATATGAGCTTCAGTTCAGATATAGTTAGAAGTGAATACTTTTCTATTGTAAAATTAATTTTAAATCATTATGAGATATCACAAAGCATGAAGAGTTTTTGAACTGTCTTTATCTTAATACCCTATCCCTCAAACTTCAAAGTCAGTTGGAAGTCACTGCTAAAAGGGTAATGACCCAAAATGGAATTTTCCCTTGTTGTATTCTTAGTTTGAAGGGTAAGAGCAGCGATAACAAAGGATCAAAAATGGGAAGTGAGTTTAGACTAAAGAACAAAACTTTAGGAATTCAGGTGAATTGCAACATGTTCAGGAGAAAGCGAAAAAGATAATTAAGAAGAGTACTCTTATTCTGTACCTATGAGAAGTCTCTGGCCTGGAACAGCTAACTAATCTTGAGAGGTGGGACCTGACCTCTGGCTCACAAACCAGGCTGCCTTGTGCAACGCAGCACCAACAGGTGTTAGTCTAACAAACCTGCTCATCTCAGTGGCTTACCTGGACAGTGACATGGCAAGTGTAGGTTTCCTCAAACACTCCTAGAAAATACAGACAGGACAACTGTATGATGTTTGAGACACATTTATGAGAAAAAGTAGAGTAATTTATGAAAGTTTGGAGTGAAAACAAGTAAAAGATTTGTTTAAATGGACCTTGTGGCACAAAAATAAATTCTGCCATGAGACATGAACTCAGAAGCATGTTTAAAATATTATCTAGGATAAATAGCCACAGTGTGACTAGAGGCTCTGCAGCACTACTGAGAAAGCCATGACTTGTCATTTCAAAAGACTGCTGGGTCTTTGAGGATAATAGAAAGTTTAAGTCAAGAGTCAATTATAAACATTGCATTGCCGTCCACTACAAAAGCCATCCTCAAATCTCCATGTGCCTCCTTCTCTCCTATCTACCTGTGGCAAGCACCTAATTAGCATTCAGTGCTAACTCCTCCACACAGCAATGAGAACCTTAACTCTAGACCAAAATGACCCTTGGCCTCCAAGGAAGGAGACATTTGCCCTCCCCGCTATTATCCGGTGGATGTCCTCATGTCCTCGCTTCTCATCCTAGAATTCATATCTCCCCAGAATGATTGACAGGAGGACTCTCTCTTTCTCTCAGGAGAAAGCTCACTCCCATCCACAGAAGTGTGACCTTTCACTATAACCTTGGCAAATATCATTCAAAAGTCGAACATTTGTACATTTCTCAAATTCAGCATTATCCAGTCTAAATAACACTATTACAACAGTTCAATCTGGATAGGGGGTGCCAAGCTCAGAAAGATTTCCTTCCAGTCTCTCCTTGTTAATTAATGAGTCAAGATCTATTACAGTGGACTTACTCTTCGTCCACTAAAATCTTCAGACTCCTTTACAAATATCCTCTTCTTCAACCAGTCCTTTTAAGGAGGGAGGAGCAATCTTCCAGTAACTTTGCACTGGCTGGAAGGAATGGTAGTTTCCACACAAAAAAACAAAACCCTATTGTGTGAGTGATAACTTCTTATAGCAACTAAACTACTAAAGCCATATTATAAAACTCTGATACAGGGTGAATTTTTGTCCACCTCATCTCAGAATCATCACATAATTCTTCACTTTGATTTCCTCTAGAGTGAAAAATCTCCCAATAGGGAGAGACTGCAGTTTCTCCTGCCTGTTCACATGTCTCCAGGAGCTCACTGTATGCATCTGTCTGTTCAAACGGCATTGCTCAAGAGTGAAGCTTACAGGTGTGAGTGGGCTGACTTTCAGGCTTCATGTGGCATTGATCCCAGGGTCATTCCCTGGTTCATGCCCCATCAGTCTTCTTTTTTCCCAGAAGTTCAGGATGACCATTCCTCAACATCAGCCTGGAAAAATGGTGTATTCCCCAGCTTAGACGTCTATTAACCAGCTCAGGAGCAGAGAGGCAGCTTTTGCCACCAGCTTCCCATGGGCTAGCAAATTATTTAATTCAACAGTTATTTATTATTTTAATAGTTCATAATTGCATATGAATTAATGCTATTTACCTCCAGATTTTTTCATCTTGATTAGTCTTTTCAACTTGCCCAGCTTCCCAAGCCTTTTTGTCACTAGATGAGGGGTAGCTGTCTACCAATTAGCTATTTAGTGTTCACTGAGCAGGCTTAATCCCACAACAATAACCAGTTCTTTCCCTGCATTGCTTTCAAGGTTCATACCTGCATCTGCCTTTCAGTGTTTAAGCTGCACCCCTCCCTGACTGAAGCACTAGTCTTGACTTGCGCACATCTATGACGGGTTTTACAAGATCTCTGTTTCTCTAAATAACTCAGATACAGAGGTCCTGCCTGAACATTTAAAAAGTGAGGAACTAGTAATATTCCTAGTAGGGGAATAGGCATGTATCAAAAAGACTATTTTGTACCCG